AAAAATCTAAAGAGCCAAGATTGCTTACAGTGATAAACCCCCTCATCCGAAGATTCTGGACACTGAATTGTATATGTTCCTCCCCCCAGCGAATCAGCCTGATACAACTAAGAATCCCAAATCCCCATTAAACATTAACTCAGGTAACAAATTAAGTGGGTTTTTTTTTTGTCTTGGAGATCATTAACACCACCACCAACAAGGAATTAAAAGAATAAAAAAAATGAGGGGGGAGGGAAAAAAAAAGAGGGAAGAATTATGATGGGAACGGCATCTGCGGTCCTCTAAAAGCAATAAACAGTCCTCGGGCATCTCTGTCCTCCCCCTCCCCCACAAGAAAAATGGACAAATTTTCAAAACCGACCCCTTGGGGTTTTTATTTGCAAAAAACGACCGGTTTTGAAAATATTTACAAAAACCGACCCCAGGGGCTGAAAACAGGTCGGTTTTTGAAAATTTTTTTCCCAAACTTCACGGGAGTTGAACTCCCGTGAAGTTTTTCTCATAACAAAACTTCACGGGAGTTCAACTCCCGTGAAGTTTGGGAAAAAATTTTTCAAAAACCGACCTGTTTTCAGCCCCTGGGGTCGGTTTTTATAAATAAGTGTGAAATGGGTCGTTTTTTGCAATTAAAAACCCCAAAGGGTCGGTTTTGAAAATTTGTCCCAAGAAAAATACTGTTAACAGATTTTACTGACTCGTAAATTGGGGAGGAAAAAAAAAATTTCCCCTCCTCCTGATTGGATATGAGAATTCACCGGTAGTAATAAAAAATGGTGGCCATTGGATTCCGATCACCAGGGAATCAGAAAATGGTGTGCGTGCGGAACAAAACATGCATCTATGAATTGAACTGATGATGAATCTTCGGTCTTAAATTGTTCTTTCTACAAGCCTGTTGTAAGATCGATTTCTATTTCACCTCTTTAATAAATTACAATTATTCAATTATTTCACCTCTTTAATAAAATTACAGGCCTTGCTTGAGAATGGCATGATGGAGTTATAAAAAGGGTATGTATAGGGGACCGCGATAGAAAAGATGGTTCAGCTTTTATTTGGTGTTGGATCCTATGCCCATCTAATTCCTAGAAGTCTTACGTGAGGGGTGACAAATTCTAGAATTTTTTTTCAAATCCAATCCATTTAGAAACTTAATTGGAAAAATGGAATCGTTTCGAATTTAGTTGTCAAAATCGACCCAGTTTCAATCAACCAGTTGGTTAAAACTGGGTCAACTTTGATAAAAAAAAGTTACGAAATTGCACAGGACTTGAAGTCCCGTGAAGTTTAAGCGCGTTGTTAAACTTTACGAGACTTCATGTCCCGTAAAGTTTCGTAACTTTTTTTTATCAAAATCGACACAGTTTCAACCAACTGGGATAATTCAAAATATCTCTCGTGGGAGGAAAGACTAGAGCCCATAATCTCCCACGAGGAGTTTGAGTGGCTTTGATAATCAAAATCTATACAGGTTTCCTGTTAAAAAGGTCTTTACAGATTTTATTCTTTAACCTTTTATCGAACAATTTTCTTTACCCCCCGAAAAAAAAAGAAAAACATTTTTATGGCTGACAAAAATCTTTAACAGTCGAACAATGTGCAAGCGGTCCTACCCTTTTTTTTCTTCTTGTGACCAGAACTTTCGCAAAGATATTTTCGGAACGGAAGAGAGAATTCCGCCTTTGATTAAGGCGCTGACGTTGACTATGCACGGGGCCCCCACTTTGGTTTATTTTAACCCCCACCCCAAGCCATCTGCAGCCAACCGCCGCAGGATCCTTACTAGGACGCATTAAATACAGTTGTCATGTAGTCAACGACTATTGCGTATATGTCGATAGATGACCCCATATGATCTGATGCTGATAGCAACTTAAGTTCCAACCTAAACACCTACGGTCGGTCCCACGGCATTAGGCTACTTTGTGATTCAATTAAATTTGAAAATAAATAAATAAATAAATAAATAACACTGGGGATCTCACATTCTTTGTTTATGTTGAAGGGAAATTCTTTGGAAGAAGGGGATTTTTTTTTTTTTTTTGTTGATCGGTCAACTTAGAGAGTTCGTTGCTTTCTCTGGCTCTTGTTTTTACAAATTATGGTACACGTATGACCTGTTGATACATTACGTTTCATTTTTTTTCCCAAGGGTGCGGCCGCAGCTTGTATCTCTCCTGCAGTGAAAACTTGGATGACTCCTGAACTCAATCCACACTAGGATCAAGAAGCCACCCGTAGAAACTGTTCTCCAATGATGACCCCCGAGGCCGGAGAGAACCTACGGTGATGCTGCCTTAGCTGCACCGATGGGGTTGGCGTCGTTATCGGCGCCCTTCTTCTTCCCCTCTTTTCTGCGTGGGTTCTCGCCTTGCTCTTGATTTTTCACCATCACCGGTTTGAACTGGAGGAAAATGAGGATCATGTGAGTGAGGAACTTAAATGTTTGGAAAAGCCGCTATTTCGCGGCACTCAAAATAGACACCGAGACGTAGATGCTACACTATACATGACCATGTTCTCCTCTAATAAACGGATGGTTCTCAGATCACTCTCGTGAGGTCTTATATATTCAGCGGTTGGACCGCAAGCTACAGTAGTTTTATTTGTTATGAGGGTCGAAAGATGAATATATTTCTTACTGGGCGGTTTGCATGGATAATTATTTTACCAAATTAGCGTCACTTCTTTATCTGAGATCTTGACTTAAACAAGCTCATGCACACAAGAAAAACAAGAAGATACGTGGACCAGCGTGTGTATGAAACCAAACCTGGTAAATAGAATAAATAACATTCCTTCGGATTTGTGCCATCATCTCTAAGAAAAGGTTATAGCCCTCGAGCTTGTACTCAATCAGGGGATCCCGCTGGGCATATCCACGCAACCCCACAGCTTGCTGTACGAACTTGAGGGCTTGCAAGTGTTCCTTCCATAACCGATCGATGTTGCTTAGAACCAGGAACCTCTCCGCTTCCTTCATCAGCCCTGGAGCTTCTTTCTCCACTACCTCCTGAAATTAGACCATGATGGTCAGAAACATAACACAAAGTAGATATACTAAATATGAGATAAAAAATAGTCAATGATTCATGACGACACTAGGCGATGGTTCAATTTCACAATCCCAAGAAGATGATATCCAATGTAGCAACTCACACTTTTCTGAAAGTATGCTTCTCGCCCACGATAACGAAGGTAATCCCGCAAGTCCTCATAGGTTGAACATTTACTTCGCAACAACTCTGGTGTCAGATCACTTAATAGATAGCAGTACCTGATAATTGAGTATAACGGAGGTAATACGCAAGTTGAAATTGTCATTGCAACTGCTTTAGAGCATAATTAAGCACGTGAAACTGAAACCATATTGTTAATATAGTTGCTCCATTGAGCATTTGAAAAATCATATAAAACTGACAGACAACATTTCACTTACTGTTGCAGTTTTGCAATGAGTTTATCAAGATCCCAGCTTTCCTTTGGAACATCTGGACCAACATTGGCCTATATATGTAAAGCAAAGAGTCAGAAAACACCAGAATACTTTAATTTAAGGGATTTTTTTTTATATTCATAGGTGACTGTACTCATTTATTGACTTTTTTCAAGATCAAAACAGCTTTGAGAAACACGTTTTGAGACCCATATTACCTCTAAGATGTCATCCATAGTCAATTCTGCATATTCGACAATAAGAGATTGAAGGTTATCTGATTCAAGCGCCCTCCTCCTCTCAGTATACACCCGATCTCTTTGGCTGTTCAGTACTTCATCGAATTCAAATAACTGCTTCCGAATATCAAAAAAGTAGTTTTCCACCTTCCTTTGAGCCTCATCTAGTGCCTTAGTCAGCATTTTTGATTCTATAGGAAGGTCTTCGACTCTGAAAGCTCTCATTAATCCCTGCAGACAGTTAACAATGTCTAAGCAAGCATCATAGTTCCCATCAACCCCTGAACTGGAACGAAGTAAGATTATATAGAACTGAAAAATATAAATCTACACGCAAGTGCATGGGCGCACCACATGCACCCACACATGTACCCACTCGTCTACCCACCCATCAGTGCATGCGCGTGCACACACGTACACACGCGCGCGCAAAGAGATAAAATATACACATACATACATAAATATACACATACACACAAATGAGCGCACCCGCGCACACATTGCAAGACACTATAATTGGCATAATTTTTCTTTCTGGGCTATAGCTTCCACCTCAACGATCACATGTGTATAACTTCATCTTCTTTTAGCCTTACATGTACCTTCTTTTTTCTTCAAGTCCAGGAAAATCTTGAAGAGTTGGTCCAATAAGCTTACATTATAATTTAATCCCGACACATAAACTGCAATTGATTATCGTGTCTTTTTGTATGCCGCATTGAATTCTTCAATGCCCTGCTATAGCAAGGGATTTTCAGATTAATTAGCTGATGACTTCATTTGCGCCCATCCATTATTCTTCCCCCTCTCTCCTCCGGTAGTGGGTTAATGCTTATCTTTAGTTTGAGCTGATGTTTGTAATTTTGTTCTATGTGAATAGACTGTGATGGTTGTTCAGTTGTTTAGTTGCCTAGGTATTGGAAGACTTGTTTATTTGCTAAGTACTCTTTATTAATGAATTGCAAAGTGACAGCTTAGTTTCCCCAAATCCAAAACGGTTTCTCTTTGAATAAAAGGGATGTAAGCCGAAGACTAGCAAGTCTTCAAAAAAATTATGAATAGAGCCTCAACATCCCAGATATTCATCTCAATTCAAACTAATACACCGTGACAGATAAAAAAGAAAGCACATAAAAAGCCCTGTTATTCATCAAATTCACCCCTTGGAAAAAACATATATATTAATGATCAAGAGAAATTAGTGAGAACCTGTACTCTGTCTCCACCAAATATCCGGAAAATGTTATCTTCTAGACTAAGAAAGAACCTAGAGCTTCCTGGATCACCTTGCCTCCCACTTCGACCGCGAAGCTGAATACACACATGATATAGTTAACCAAATAACAAATGGCACTATGCAAAATAAAAAAGAACATGAGTTGATTTGTTTGCTTCATTAAATGAGACGAAGTAATGTGTACAGTCACTTCCCATAAGCATAATTCATGATGAAATCTGACCTGATTATCTATTCTACGTGATTCATGGCGCTCAGTCCCCACCACATGAAGTCCACCAGCCGAAACAACCTATAAATTGCTCGAATGACAAATTATTATTGTCAATCTCTAACTACATTAACATCAGAACTATTGCTGCCTTGTTGGTTAGATAGAGAACCTTTTTCCTTTCCTCTTCAGTATAAACTTTGTATTCATCAACCATTTTCTTGAATGCATCTCTCAACTTTGAAATGACCTCATCTTTAATAGGACCCTGCAAAGTGGACACTGAAAGCTTTTAGTATATATCACAATCAGCATGTGCAGTGGTGAAATGAAACAGAAGGGCAAAAAAGTTCACGGAGAAATACATGAAATATCAACAAAGCTCTCCACATGCCATATGTCTAGGAGAACAACAAAATGCACTTCAACAGGCGAGCCATAACAACCAAAAATAACTAGTTCTGGGCCCAAAGCCATATACATCTGTGAATTTAATAATAGGAATTGTTCTTCTAGTTTATCTGATTGAATAAAGGAAAGTATGCCAAACCCTCATTCGACTTGCACGCTTCCTATTTAACCTAAGTTCAGCTACTTTTAAAGAACTTAAACTTCTTTGGAGAACTATGACCTTACTTAGGAAAACTATCACATGCAAATTACCTTTTCACATGAATACGAAAGTCGCTCTTCTGCTTCAAGCTCCGTTAGTGATCTTTGGCCCCATGTTTCGGCAGCAGAGTCCACTGCAGCTTTGGCCAACGCTACTGTATCTTTAGAAAGGTTGCAAGGGAATAGAGTTTCATTCACCTGTATAAATACAAGCAATGAGATCAAGTAGAGTTATTGTTGAATTCTTCATCCAAATAAATTAGCATACATATACAAAACGTAATTGCACCTGCCAAGTTTTCTTTGGTGGAAGTTTCTTCACAGAGACAAATGTGCCTTCTATAGGCTTGACAACTCTGTAGCATCCATGTCATCTTAGAATCAATATTATAATGAAAATATTTCCATGCAAGACAATTCTACAAAGTTGACAACCTCAGACATGCACCAGACGGATTATTGCAGGTTGAGTGACAAAACATGGAAAAATGGGGTAATAGAAGATAGCAGCATATGTAGTAGAAATGCTATGATAGTCTATTGAAATACAATGTTGATTCTGATACATAAGAAACTTGAAATGCAATAAATAGTCAACCAAAAAAAAACATCTGCAGGTTATTTAGTATCAGAAGGATCAAAAGGGCCATACTAATCACATATGAAGGTCCGCAATAGTGATCAATTGATTTGTAAAAGCATTAAACTGAAAAAAATGCCTTCTGAACCTCATTTGTTAATCAATATAGCTGAAATTTTGATTGAGATGAGTAGGCGTGGTGCACAAGTATACATGTCTACATGAAAAGCATTAAGACAGCTAGATTGCAAAATATATATCTGAATGGATGTGCCAGTAAAAAGAGACAGCCTTATTATGCTAAATATCCATATGCTCAAAAGCATGCTCAAATGGAAGTATCCAGTTTAGTTTATTGAGTTCCATGTGTGGTCTATGGCTAAAGATTGGTGTTGATATGCAACAAGAAGTACAATTTGGCTGAAAGGAATCTTGAACCAACAAATCATACACAGATGTGTACGCAGAAACAGGATTTGGTGTAAAATCTATAAAAATAGTCTTTCTTCGAACTAAATCCAAAACTTGGAAAACTTCAATACCTCGGCATAAGCATCTCACGAAGCTTCAATCTTGCAATGAATTCTGCATTTCCACCTAGAATGATATCTGTTCCCCTTCCTGCCATATTGGTAGCTATTGTTACTGCTCCTAATCGACCACTTTGTGCTACAATTTCAGCTTCCCTCTCAACATTTTCAGGTTTTGCATTGAGGACCTTCAAAAAGAAAAGGAGGCAAAATAAACTAAAAGTATGCAAAAATAAATTCTCAAGACAGGCCACCTTTTTGTATATATTTGAAATATTTCCAATTTTTCATTTATCTTGTGGTTGGGGAATAGCTATATCTTGGAGGTACTAATTTTTGTTCCCTATATCTTTCTTCAGCCAATCATTGTTTTTGTCTAAAGGCCTATCTAAGCATGATTGGTGTCAGTTAAAAAACTCAATGTTTACTTAATTAACCTAAGAAAGCATAGAGTTATTGGCTTGTATTCCTTCATGAGGCTGGTAGACGTAGTCATATGAAATAATAATACTAGTTGTTCAATAACTAAAGGTAAATTGTGATATACATTAATGGTTCCTTAAGGTCACTTTATCTAGTTTCTTTGTAAGAAGGATTGTTCTCTGCTGTCGGACTTGCAATCTGAAGGTACTGTGTCCTATAGTAGGATATAAATTTAAAGATTCACTAAGTCAGTCTTGTGAACTCTCTCTAAAAAGGAGCATGCCTGATAATTGGATTCAGTTTCATGGCATGAGATACAAAAATGCATATAAATACTGTTGTCAAGTATGCTTCCATCTCTACTATCCAGCCCCGCAACAAATACAAATTACTTTCCTTCATTTTTCTGATAGCAGTAGATGTACACAATGATTCCTGCATGCTGTTGACAATACCTGCACGAGTTGTTTTGTTTCATGGTTCCATATAGTTAGTGATACATGGCATGATGATCTCTGTCAATGGGGACATTCACATTACAGATAATGGAATTTTATATCAAGTAGGAACTCTGGAAATGATGCCCCTGAAATATAGATGTCTGTGGTCCCTTGTCTCACCCGAAGAGCACTCGTTCATTTCATCTTGAAAGTAAGTTTAAGTGACAGTCAACTTCTCTCATAATTTAAAATATGCCATTTCAATACATATTGATGATTATCAAGCTGGTTTTCATACTATCTGATGACGAACAAACTAATGATAAAATGTGTTGATAAACACAATATGGTCTTTAACCCAGTTCCATCTATATAGCATTTCACTTGCAACACATGAAAGAGAAAGTGGAGCACCTTAGTTTTTAGGCTTAGCCAAGACCTTATGAATACCAGTGACTGAAGAAGGGACGAATAGCCCATATAATTTTATGTAGAATATTAAAAGAAAATGTATGCATTATACACAACTCACCTCATGAGGTATTCCAGCATCACGTAATTGTTCTGACAAGGAGTCACTTTGCTCAACGCTAGTTGTACCAACAAGCACTGGGCGCCCAGTCTTGTTCATTCTTGAAATCTCTACTACAACCGCACGCCATTTTCCGGTAGTTGCCCTGAAGACTACATCAGACTCATCCTGCAAAAGAAGATTAATTTAGATTTTGACTTTTGAAGGAAGACAGATGGACATCCTATGTAAGTGAAAGTAAATTTGGTAATTTCTCAAGTACAAAAAAACTGCTCCAACAAAATATGTGATGCTTCAACATAGTCCAGATCAAATATGTCCTTATTCCAGTACAAATGCACATTGTTTGTAGGGTACAATTTGTTCATGCATGTTCCCATTTTAGTGCTGCCTGCTCTGTCTTTATCAAAGTTTTCTGGTACAAACTAGACACCATATGTGCACCATAACATATAGTACTAAACACTTGGCATGTAAGAAAAGAATTAAAACCAGAAAAGACAGGTTAGAGATCCACAACGATATTGGTATTGGTATGAGGCAGCTCTTTTAGTTACAACTGTTTGTAGCTTCGGCAGTCTCAGGGTTCAAATTGTAAGTTCTAAGTATCTGATTCTACACATTTGCATCAAAGTTTCACAATGACATGATGGAAAGAGAACCATTCTCAGACATCCATTTTGACAGAAGATATGTTGATGCAAATGATCTAAAAGTAGCTGTTCGGCAGACTTTTCTTATTTATGCTTGAATACACACAGTAAAGAAAAATGCAGCACCAAATACAACAGCTGCAAGAAGACAGCCATTCAACAGGTAAAGCAATGCATTTCAGAAAACAGTTGGAAGTGTCTTTTACTAAAGCAATCAAAGTGCTAGCTGCTCTCAAGTATGTTTACATGACACCAAAGCCAGCAACTATCAGAAAAGACATAGGAGATAACCACCAAATCATCCTTCTATGTTATAGAGTTTCAAACAAAGTTTAATACCTTTCTTATCATGGGCTTGTTTGTTGGAACAATAGTAACTTTCAGCTTATATATGCTCTCAAATTCTGTACTCTCAGTTGCTGCAGTTCCAGTCATGCCACATAGCTTCGGGAACTACAGGGCAAAACAAACTAGCATCAGGAACTGTCAGGTTGGAAGTTTCTTACAAAGTGGATGGATAAGCATTGCGAGGAAAACTCAAATATAAATCATTTACTTACCTGGAGGAAAAAGTTCTGGTAACTAATGGATGCAAGTGTGACAGTTTCATTTTGAATTGGCAACCCTTCCTTTGCTTCCACCGCCTGATGAAGACCATCACTCCATCGCCTACCCTGCCAAAACCAATATCCAAGTGTAATCAAGTAGTCTTTTGAACAGAAATCTTGGATAATCAAATAATATAAAATGGAAAAAACACAATCCATGGAGAGGCAAAAAGGCAAGAAACAAAAGATATATTATCGTTATGCATCATTTAACCTGAATATGGAATTTAAGTTTGATACATCTGCACGAGAAAACTTCTCAAGTATGCAAAACATAGGAAAGAAAACCTAAATGCATAAATAGCTCAATCACAAAAAAGAACGTACATTTAGCCACCCTAAAATCAAAAGAATGTAATGAACTGGTTATTCTTTAGTCAAGTTTTTCATATAATCTAAAAATGAAAAAAAATAAAAAATTAAAAAAAAATCAAGTCGATTATTCTTAAGAAAAGACCCTAATATCATGATGGTAATTCGAACTTCGAAGAAACTCACTTGCATGACTCGACCTGTAAATTCATCCACAATTAGAACTTCCTTGGCACGAACAATGTAGTTTACATCTCTGAGAAAGAGTTCCTTCGCCTTGATGGCATTTAAAACAAATGAAGCCCATTGCTCTCGAGGATCATAGAGATCCTTTACATCCAAGATTTCCTCAGCATCCTCATATCCCTGTTCTGTAAGTAGAACAGTTTTTTGCTTTTCATCCACCTGAATACAATCCAGATTCAAGAAAAAGTTTAATAAACATCATTATTTATCTATTTAGCAAAATTTAGTATTAGCCAGTAGCATTTTATCTCATTTTATAATAAAGCAATATTGCCTTAATTTCTAAATAATGAAGGACAAATGTCATCTTTCATGTGATAGATGGCCTTTGGAGGGTATTAACTGTGCTGAATTAACAATTAGAGAGCAGTTTTTTGTAATGACTATTAACCCAAATTTCAAAAGATAGAATCTGAAGTCATGTTCCAGCCTTACAGTATAATGCAGATCACGCTCAAAAGCTGCAGCAATCTTTGCTGCTTTGTAGTACCGGTCACTCGGCTTATCTGCAAGGCCTGAGATGATCAGAGGTGTTCTTGCTTCGTCAATAAGGATAGAATCAACCTCATCAATCACACAGTAGTTGAAGCCTCTCAAGACAAGTTCATCAACACTCTGTAAGTACAAAAGAATGTCAAATGTTAGCTGGGGAACCCATAAGTATGTGAGATTAAGAGTAAACAAAAAGTTGGATAATGCATTATGAAAACTATTTGACAAAGAAATCTGTAACAGTGAAGCTCATTAGAAATAGAGTATTATACTTTCCGTGGCAAGATTGTCTCTTAGGTAATCGAATCCAAGTTCACTGTTGGTGACATATGTAATGTCACACAAGTAATTCTCCCTTCTTTGCTCGCTCGACATATTCTCTGCCAATGTGAAATATTATTAAACATAGTTTAGCAATCATAAAAGTAAATGACTGACATTGGATATGGGATGCTACTACAAGAATCTAAATTATAAAACATGCAGGAATAGAGTTAATAGAGGACTGAATGAGGTTGATGAATTCTTCAAAAGTAGATCCAAGCCCTTGTTTGGAGTACATTTGTAAGTAAGTTCATGCAAGTTGCAAACAGAGGTTGAGCAAAGTTGGATTCAATGTGCACCAAGATGGAGTTTTATTAGGCTAATTACAGCAAGCAAGCAGAACAATGGTGTTCCCCCAGCAACATTTGACTGGCCTATATTATCCGCAACTTTGCTTATGTCCCTATTTATACATAATTTTAACTACCTAATACGACTTATACAATGGACTATCAACCACTTAGCAAAAAAGTCACATATTGAATATGTGATAACAAAACACAAAGTTCATATGGAAACAAATAATAGTCAGTGCAAGGAAGGCAATTTGTTAGTGTGTTTATAGGAGTTGGTTACACCATATATAATCCATTTTCTAGTAATCTTAACGTAAAATCAAAAGACATTGAAAACGTGATAACATGCGCTTTTAAAGGATGCTACATACGTTGGATTAGGCCAACCTGCAGTCCCAGAAATCGAGGCACTTGACCAACCCACTCACAATCTCGTCGTGCAAGATAATCATTCACAGTGACAATATGCACTCCTTTCCCAGTCAGTGCATTCAGATATGCTGGCAAAATAGCCACAAGTGTTTTCCCTTCTCCAGTCCTCATCTCTGCAATTTCCCCTTTGTGAAGAACCATGCCACCTGTAGGAGCCAAACTATAAAGATTAACACCACAAACATTAAGCGTGCGTTTGGCAACTCCACAATCTAATTTTAGTGGGTACAACTTTGGTCCAAAAGTTAGTTTTTAGTTTGGCAACAATGGGCCAAAGTTGAACTAGTTTTCTTTAGTTCAAAATTTAGGCTCTAAACTAGTTCTCTTATGAACCACCCTCTACTTAATGCTTTAGTTTAAACACAGTTTCAATCAGCAAAGACCACCGAAGAATGTTTAAGATGCGTTTTAATGAGATAGTACAATAACATGGAGAAGCACCACTTATAAACCTTAAAAGCCAGTTCACTACTTTAGTTTCAGTTGTTCTAAACTTTATCTGCATAGCTACAATGAGCAGGACAAATGGTTTTAATTGCATAAGGATTTTAGTTCACAGAAATTCGGAAAGTTTATAGTACGCAAAATATTCTATGTAGGACGATAATTTTTTATTTGGCTAAAAACAGACAAAATCATATATTATAGTCCACTTAAACTCCGAAATGTGAGTGCATAAGATATTCTATGCAGGATGGCAACTTGTTATTTGGTTGAAAATGACTAAATCATAGTCTATTGTCCATAGAGGTTCGGAAACTTTGCATTACACGTAAAATACTCTACGTGGGACAATAATATATGATTTGGTCGAAGACGAGCACAATCTTGGCATTGTCTATGGTTTGGTCCACAGAAATTTGAGCATTTTGTAGTACATACAAAATATGCTATGTTGGATGGTAATCTATAGTCTGTTTGAAAACAGAGAAAAACATGTGTTTCTCAGCAAAAAATTTGGAATTTTAGAATATGCATAAAATATTCTACGAGGGACTACAACTCGTGATTAGGTCAAAAAAGGCCAATTTAGGAGGTACATCCTAAGAAATTCGGGAATTTTGGAGGACGCATAAAACATTATATATCTTTATGTACTTGTGATTTCGTCGAAACCGGCCAAATCATGGGTTACAATCCACATACATTCAAAAAATTGGGAGTAGGCATAAAATACTCTATGTGGGTTATAATCCACATAAATTCAAGAACGACCAAAAGCATAGGTTATAGTCCACAACAATCAGAAATTTTGGAAAACACAAAACATTCTACGCAAGACGGAAATTGCGATTCAGTTGAAAACTATCAAAGCTATGGATCCATTGAAAATTTGAAACTATCAAGTACGCACAAAAGATTTCATGCAGGACAACTTGTGATTTGATAAAAACAACCAAAATAATGGGTTACTCCACAGAAGTTTGGAAATTTTCAAATTCAGAGTACACATATTTTTTTTAAGAAACAACATAAATTAATTACTACAGGATAACAATTTGTGATTTGCTTGAAAACAATTGAAATCATGTGTTAATCTTGGACACATAAAATATTGTATGAGGGGCATTAACTTGTGACTTAAGAAAAAACGACCAAACTTATGGTTTATAGTCTCTCGAAATTGAAAATTTTATTATTATTTGATTGAACCAAATTCATGGATTTCGTTAAAAACTGCCAATATCATAGCTTAGTCCAAATAAGTTCGAAAACCTTGGAGTATGCATAAAAAAATTTATGCACGGCGACAATTTATAATTTGGTTAAAATGGCCAAAATCATGTGTCTTGAGAGACGTTAATTTGTGATTTCACGGAAAACGATCAAAATTCAGGGTTATAGACCACCGAAATTCAAAAATTTTGAAGAACGCTAAAAATATTTTAGGCACAATGACAATTGGTTATTTGGTCGAAAACGGCCAAAATCATGGGTTATAGTTTACAAAAAATTCTTATAAAATTTTTTTGAGTACTCACAATATACTCTACTCGGAATGCCAATATTTTATTTGGTCAAGAGTTGCCAAAATCATGGTTTATAGTCCTTAGTAATTCGGGAATTTTATAATATGAATAAATTATTCTATTCAAGATGGCAGTTCATAACTTGGTCAAAAATGGCCTAAATCATAGGTTTAGTCCTATATTACCCGGGTACTTCTATAATGAAGCCGTACCCGTACCGGACACGTACCCGACACTTTCACGTACCCAAACTTCATGGACACTTCTTGAATATATGCATGCATTTATTACAACATGTACTCAATTATACGATATCTGTGTTAATTTAAAACACTTGTCAAAGACTTCCTGGGCGTAGAGCTTACACTTCACATCCGTATTTTGAAACTAATGAGATACGGATCAGATTCGTTTCAGTCCAATACCCAAGTTTAAAACTACATAGTTAATGGGACGTTTAGATGTCTAGTAAAAAAAATGAGTAGTTTACAATTCACGATAATCAATATGATAAAAGAAACTCAAAAATGTGATCAGAATTTTAATTCTAATGACACATGAAGGGGGAAATTTATCTTATGTACAGTATTAATTCAATATATATATGTAGTCATGTCCCCGTACCCTACATTTTACAGTTTTACCGTGTCCCGTACCCGCACCCGCACCCGCACCCGCACCAGTACTCGTGCCTGTTTCCATGCAACTTAGGTTTAGTCCAAAGAAAGTGGGGAATTTTTTAGTACACATAAGATATTTTACAGAAAAAAGCAATTTTGATTTGATCGAGAACGAACGCAATCATGGAATATACTCCACAGAATTCGAAAAGTTTGGAATACAAATACAATACTCTATGGAAGACAACAATTTGTGATAAGGTCGAAAAAGACAGAAATAATAGGGGAACAAAGAAATTCAAGCATTTCAAAGCATAGTAGAAAAAACCTATTACAACTCATTATTTGCGTTATGTAAGCCAACATATCTTAAACATTACATAACCTTTTGAAATAACTCAAACACATATAAGTCTACATAATTCTAGTATAACACATGTCATTTCAATGTTACTTATATTATTTCAATAAAACATATGCTATTTTAAATTACTTGTGTTATTTACCATAGAGACATGAGATAGTATCTCCCTTCCTAAAACTTGAAGTAACTAAGCGATTACTTTGAATTGTATTGTTAAGCTTCATGGCTTACTTTAGTCATAGTGACATCATTATGTGATTGTGAAAATATGAATGTGACTAATAACATGAACGTGAAATTCTGAATGAGATGTAAAATTGTAATTATATATTTGAATTTCTATTATGACACTTGTTAGTAAACCATATTGAATTAAAGAATTTTTATTTAAATTTGTTTATAATTTGACATTCTCTTCCTAATTAATAAAATAATTATGAACATCTTTTATGTTTTTGAAATTAAACAATAACAAAATATGTAAACTACGTTATGCATTATGCTTTAAGCTATCGAGAGGACTTAAGTTATACATTATCATTTTTCCAACATTGGTCAAGATTTGAGAGTGTTCTCTTTGATTTTCAGTTTTAAACTTGAGTATATGTGCTTTTTGTTTGATTTTAAGCATTTATGAAATATTTTTATTTGAGAAATCGCAATGATATTTTTAATAATTACAATGTTTTATTTGAAAACTATGATGTTTCTATTTATTAAAATATTTGATTTTTGCTTATTATCTTTTTATTAACCACTTCAATAAACAATAAAACATGTAACCTATGTTATGAGTTACATTATTTTGTGTTTTACATTATCAGGAAGCGAGTGTTGTGTTATGCATTATTGTCAAATTCAACATTATAATTTGGAGTATCCATAATATATTTTATGCCGAATGACAACTTGTGCTTTTGTCAAAAATAGCCAAAAACATGCTTAGTTTTGGAGGATGAGTTAATTATTTCATGAGGGACTCTAACTTGTGACTTTGTTGAAAAATGGTCAAAATCACTAGGTATACTCCATATAAAGTTGGGAAGTTTAGAGTGGACATAAATTATTCTATATAGGACAATAATTAGTGATTTGGTTGAAATAGCATAATAATGGGTTATAATCTATAGAAGTTCAGAAGTTTTGCAAGTATGCATAAAATTTTCTATGCCAGACGGCAAATTTTGACTTGGTCAAAAATGGCCAAAATTATATGTTATAGACCATAAGAATTTGAGAGTTTTTCAGTACGCATAAAATATTCTATGTGAGACGGAAATTTATGATTTGGTCAAGCAAGGGCCAAAATAATGGGTTATAGTCCATAAACATTTAAGGATTTTATAATATACAAAACATTCTATGTTGGACAACTTGTGATTTGGTCGAAAAGGACAAAATGATGAGTTATGATACATAGAAATTTGGAAATTTTTTGAGTACAAATAAAGTATTTCATGCAAGACAACAATTTGTGATTTCGTCAAAAAACGACTAAATCATAAGCTATAGACCATAGACATTCGAGAAATTTGTAGCACACATAAAATATATTTGCCGGACGGCAACATGTGATTTGGTTGAAAATGGCCAAAATTATAGATTATAATCCATAGAATTTCAAAAATTTTGAAGTACAAAATAAATATTCTATGTGCTACGATAAATTGTGGTTTGGCCGAAAATGGCCACACTCATAGGTTATAATCTATGTTGCCTGGATACGGGTACGAGACACGACAAATTTGTAAAAAGTATGGTACGAGGACACGGCTGTATATATATAAAATAATTCATTTTAGATCAATATTGAATTAAATACCTATTACATTTGCAAATATACCCCAAAATATGACAAGCAACCCTCAAAATATTACAAGTATATTGTTTAAAGTTGTAAATATACCTCTAAAAGTTAGTTCTATATCCCAAAAACTTACAAGTCACTAGCATATTCAAAAAGTTAAAACTATATTCCTTGCATAAGAAATAGAAAGCTATTTTTACTTTAATTAAAATTTAGAACTAATATTATTACCTATATAAACAAATACAAGCATTAAAAACCAAACCAGCCCAAACCTAAGCGGGCCGCTTAAACGGCCCGCCCAAACATTTCAAAACAAAAAAAGCGGGTGATGAAAAAAAACCCTAACCCCTCCCCATATAAACCTCAACCTCCCGCTAGGGTTTCCGTCTTCGCCGCCTCCTCCCATTTATCCTCGCCAATCTCTAGGGTTTCCTCACTCCTCCATCAAATGAAATGACCCCTCGCAAAACCGCTAGTGTTTCATCCAGGAACCCAGATCTCATTCGAGGGATCTGCAAGTTCTCCCACTCGAAAATGCACCACAAGCGAGGCCTGTGGGCGATTAAGGCCAAAAACGACGGATCTTTCCCCAAACACGACAAGAAACCCGAACCCGCTAAGCCGCCGAGAAGCTGCCCAAGTTTTACCCCACTGATGACGTGAAGACTGTCATCCCCGCCGCAAGCCCAAGCCCACCAAGCTCAGGTCTAGATTCTAGGGTTTTGGTTTCTAGGGTTCCTAGGTTTAGAATTTTGTGTTGATTTCTTTCCCTTACTCGTGAAATCGTCGTATCTCTGCCGTTTGGGTGCAGATCCGTACCCAAAACGTACCCGACATGGGTATGAGACCAATTTGGTTGTGTCAGGGTATCACAGCCACATGTTATAATCTAGAGAAATTCAAAATTTTCGAGTACGCAAGAAATATTCTTTGCACGATGCTATTTATGATGTAGTCGAAAACAAATAAAATCATGAGTTATGGGGCCCAAAAAATTCAGGAATTTCGAATTGTGCATAAAATATTCTATAAAGGATGACAAACTATGATTTGGTCGAAAACAATCAAGATCATGACTTATAATCCATGGAATTTTAGAAATCTTAGAGCTTGTATAAAATATTCAATGTGAGACGATAAATTGTGATTAGTAGAAAACAAACACAATCATGGGTTATGGTCTACAAAAATTTAGAAATTTTAGAGTACACATAAAATATTCAAAGTGAGATGATAATTTGTGATTTGGTTGAAAGTGGAGGCAATCATGAGTCCACAAAATTCAAAACTTAGAACATATAAAATATTATATGTGGGACGACAAAGTGTGATTTGGTTGAAAATAGCTAGAATCATAAGCTATAGTCTGCAGGAACTCGGAAATTAGAAGTATGTATAGAATACTCTCTATGAGATGACATGTGCTTTGGTCGAAAACGGTCAAAATCTTAGGTTATATAGTCCATAGGAATTCAATAAATTTTGAGTACGCATAAAATATTTTATGCGAGAATGCAACTTTTGATTTAGCGACAATGGCCAAACTTACGATTTATAGTCTATAGGAATTTGGAATTTCCAGAGTACGCATAAAACATTTTATGCGAGAATGCAACTTTTTATTTGGCGAGAACAGGCAAAATCATGGATCATAGTCTATAGATATTCGGATATTTTTTAGTATGCATGAAATATTCTCAAGGGGACGATAATTTGTGACGGACGAATGGCCACTATCATTAGTTATAGTCCATATAAATTCAAAATTTTAGAGTATCCACAATATACACTATGTGTGACAACTATTTGTGATTTAGTCAAAAACGACCAAAATCATGGGCTATAGTCCACATAAATTCAGGATTATGGTGGATAAATGTTATAAGACATCAAGGGATAATAGTTTGACAAAAGTTAAGACGTCAAGGGATAACAAAGGCTTTTAACTGCATGAGGTTTTTGATTCAAAAACATAAACTATGAAAGAATTTGAAGACCGGCGTACAGAAATGGACATGAAGTTGCTCCTCATTGCAACATCATAAACTCGAGAATTATAGAAATGGAGAACTCACCAATCAGTTGCACATCAAACGGGCGAAGACCCAAAACTCTTTTCGAGCCCTCTCTCACCACAGCAAACGCTTCCTACCAAAAAATAAAAATACATTTTCAGTCCCATATTTCCACCCACAAAAAAAAACAAAAACAAAAAGGAAACAATCATCTGAAACCAATTAAAAAACTTACTGCCAGCAGAGAATCCAATGTCTCCCCATTTTGAGCTCTCTCCTTCAGCCTCGCAGTTCTCTCTCTCAGCTCCAAATCCGATAGGCTCGCCATTTCGGGTTCCAACCTATTAATCGAAGCAACCGAATCCGCATACTTTTGCCTCGTCGATTCGCCCGTATCATTCCCTCTGAAGATTCCACCCAATAAACCCCCTAGAGCAGCCTCTACTCGGAGATCTCGCCTCTTTCTTGCTTTAGATCCTCGATCTTGGGGACGTCTTTGGGGGGAATAAGAGAAGCCCAGTTGGGATTTGGGGGTGAAATTTGTGCGGGAGATGAGAATTTTGGGGGAGATGAAGGGAGTGGGTTTTGTTAAAGTGGTTGGGAGAGGGGACGAGGCCATTTCTAGAAGAGAATTTGAGAGGAAGGGGATTGAAATTAGAAGTTGGAGGTGGGATTTAGGAGAAATAATAGATAAAAGCTTGGTTTTTTTTTTAGCTCAGAGAATGGAGCGCTTTGTTGATTCAACAAAGGAGAAAGAAAGGTGCGTGGAGGGAAAATGGGGGAAAAGAGGAAGGGGAAGGATAAGGCGATTTTTTCAGAAGAGTCCTGAGGAATGAAGTAAATTATAGGATATAATTTAGATTGTATTTCATATGTTTATGTCATAGAGAATCTACTCCTCCTCCTCTATACAAACGGGAGAACACAAGATTTACTGTTTATACTACTATAAATGCTACTATAGTACTTACTGTGGTATTATCGCTGTAGCGAATAGAAAATTGGGTACCGTAGGCCTTTTTTGAAAACAAACACCGTAGGGAATATTGTAGCATTTTAAAAAAACTGTAGCAGAAGGAGAATTGTAGTAATTCAAGAAATATTTAAAAAATAGTATTGTAGCATTTAAAATCAGGATTACTGTAGCAGGAGAGAAAAAAAAGCCGCATGACTAGTAATGAAAATTGCAAAAGGCCCTTTACTGTAGCAGGAAAAAAAAGTCATGTTTTTCACAGTGTTCACGACTAGTAATAGAAAATACAAGAAGCCCTTCCTCACAAAATGGAAAATGTTACGTATATTTTATTTTTTTCTCAATTTTGTTTTGTTTGAAGAGCTCCCCACTAGCTCATCACCAAAAACACAAAAATTGTTACCCTCAAATTGGAGCGCAATAAAGGGCATGAGAACCCCCGTGTAACTTCCCTTTTCCCCTCTCTCTCTCTCTCTCCTATTTTCCCTTTTAACTTGCCTTCTCTTCTCTCTCTCTCTCTCTCCCCTATTTTCCCTTTTAACTTGCCTTCTCTTCTCTCTCTCTCTCTCTCTCCTATTTTTCCTTCACCCCCGATGAAATCCAACCCAAACGCAGCAGCCTTACATCTATCTGAAAATTAAGCCTTACCATGCTTTGTGAGATCCCACGTAGCACACCCAGGCGCTGTTGAGACAGAATAGACTCAGGATGACAACGCCAAGGCATTAAACGTTTTAGCAAGTTGCACGAAGCGTCAAATAAAAGCGGAACAAAACACCCCCTCACATGAGAATTACTACAAGATACAAATTATGGACACCCTCACCAGCTCAGAACAAAGGTTTGCGAGAGGTGAGCCGCAGGATCAGCGTGGTGTTGTAAACGTGTTCCCATAATAGAAGAATCGACTCGTCTGAGAAATTAACAAAATGCAACCAGTACGCAGGTGTAATTGGCCCCTGAACAATTCCACTGTTTCTAATGAACATCCCCATTCAGCATATTATAAAAACAAAATTTGAAGTACAGTAGCAAATCCAATGACAACGGAATCTGAGTTCAGTCGCAATCGGTCGACTAATAGGAACTGGGGGCACAGAAGAATTTTGACACCCCTAATAGCTCCGGCCCCAGTACGTCCACTTCTTTGCCGGCTTTCCAGAAGCGAAGCAGGGAGTTCCTGCAAAATAGATAACATTTAAAATATCTCAGAGAGGATACCAACTTTTACTGAAGGTACACGTATAAAGATATATGAAGAAGTATACATACACGGGCTTCGTAACTCTTAACGCTGCATAAATACAAGGTTAGATATATATATATTGATCTCAAATATTAATTCTTCTTGGTCCGACATGTATAATCTGGTCTCTTGTACAGTCTAAATAAACGGAAGCGAAATTTTATCGACTTGAGTACTTGATATTGATGATACTAAGGAATTCGCCCCAATTTTTTTTTAAATATGTTACCTCTGCCTAGAACCGGAATCATTAACTATTACAATGATCAAATATCACTCTAAATTTGATTGCTGATCTTAATACAAATATAGTTTCGATATGACGCTGGCTGTAAGATAGTGTTGGTAGGTCTATTCGCTGACCCACATGCTACTCAACCTGCAGGTATGGGCAACTTTTGGACAAATGGCAACTATTGCAAATAATCATAGCAATAATAATTACTGCTCAGAATAATGATAAAGCGAAGACAAATGAAGGACAATGCACATGACTAAGGATCTAGTGTGGTAACGAACAGAGCGTTAGCCTGCACATCTGTGCGAAATCTTGGGCGTCGCATATAATACACTACAACTTTCAGTTGGGTGAACTTTCTTGCTTATATTTTGTTCAATAGTCTGGTAAATACTGGGGGAAATACAGGATAGAAACTGCATTCTTCTTGTATAACTAAAAAAAAGAAAATAATTGGTCAAACAGTTCTAGAAGGGCATGAAATGCTTGCAAGGATTATTGACTGATTGGTTTTGAGTATACAATAAAATAAATAAATTTAATTTTTGATGTAAGGATATGAATATCTCAATTTTGACTTTTGGTCATCAGTATTTAATACGCACAACTCATCAAATGCATCTTTTACATTCCAACTAATAACAAGAAATGGTGATGCTGTTTGGTTCCAACCTTATTTCCCAAGGAAAAAATTTTCATCAATTTAGAAAATTTTGGAAGTCTCAATCCTATTTGCGCAATATAGTTAAAAGATTATAAATATGGTCATATAGTCTATCATATAGTCACTTGGAATTTTATAGTTATGAATTACTCTGTTCCACACTAACAAGCTACAAGAAAAATAAGAAATAACAAGGCATAAATTCTTTGTGATTGCACACCTTCAGGAAGTCTTGGCTGCTCAAATGGAGTACACAATGTCTTGGCGGCTCCAAGATCGCCCTTAGTCCGTGCTTTCACATCCTTTTCTACTTCCTAAATGGCATAGACAATAATTTAAGACGGAATAACATCAATGAGTAATTCTTGAATGCTAACTTACAAATACATTCAAACATCAACTATTTAAAATATGATGACCTTGATGCATGGAAAATGGGAAATTCTAATAAAAAAAGCGACACACCTCCTCATCACACCATGGTGCCAGAATTAGTTTTTTCTCATTGAGTGCTGCTATGAATTCATCCCATGTATGGATGACTTTGATGCAGGCATCTCTTTTTTGCTTTGCTGCATTAAACAAATTCTGTTGGATGTCAGACAAAATTTCTTTTACCTGCTCCACTAAGTCTCCCATAGGTATATCTTTCTTTGCTCCGTTGTCACGTCGAACAACTCGAACCTGAAAATAAAATTAAACGAGTTCTTAATCACAGCAACAGAAATGAAACAGACATCATAAACGATAAAATTTTTCAAAAAGAAAACTTTTGACATGGTACAACGTATCAAGAACTTTAAGCATGTGAGTACAATACTACAAGATAAAACTATCGAGCGTACACTTAAACATGGCATTCTTCTGCACAGAGCTCTCTTCATTAGATTAAAATTATGGCATATGCACATAAGTAACTTATTGATCAACTTCAAGCATGCAAGGTTATATAAGATAGCAGGAATTTTCACAGCCATGAATCTGTCACCTTAGATTAAGAGGGAAAAACTTTCTATTTGTTACTTAAAACCAAAGTCATGGACATCAAAATTATAAATTTATACATGACAGCTGGAGTTCTAATACCAATGATGCCTGCTACCAGCTTCATCACCTGGACTTCCTCGAGTTACATAAATGATTACAGGCATTGCTAAAGTAGGAACAGTTTCGAGTAAGAACAAACTTGCATAAAACATTAGCAACTAGCAGCTATATTCATAAACAGCTACTTATGGGAGAAAAGAAAACTTACAACTTCATGAGCGTAGAAAGTACTACAATAAAGCCAAAATAGTAAGCTGCAAATATTTCTACCCAGATTAAGATCTCATTTTCAATGCCAAGGAGGACTAGAAAATACTTGCCAAGTTAGGCATAAGGTACAATGTAGAATACAAAGAAAAATGTTAATAGCAACAATAAGATGAAAATTCATATTTAGAATTGAAAACTATGATAATAAGCTCACAAATAGGCGGTGTTCCAACAAGTCATGTATGCTCATTACTCAAAAGTAAAACATGAAGTGAAACAATTTATCTACCTGATTATTAGCTAAATCCTTTGGCCCAATTTCAATTCTCAAAGGAACTCCTTTCATTTCCCATTGTGAGTACTTCCAACCAGGTGAATAGTTGTCTCTTAAATCTTCCTCAGCTCTGAAACCGGCTTTGTTCAACTTTGTAACTGTTGATTTGCAAGTCTCAATAATGGCTTCTGTATCGGCATCCTTGTATGGTACAGGAACTACGATAACCTGGACTGATGCTACCTTAGGTGGTAAAACCAAACCCTTATCATCTCCGTGAACCATCACCATGACTCCAATCTGCACCAAGACTTATTGCTTAAACATTAAGATATAGTGATTGTGATGAGTCTCACAGTAAGTACATGAAGAAACACGGAGTATGCTCAATTTAGTGATTTGATCAACCAAATAACATCAACTCACAAACGAAAACAATTCCACACTCAAGCTCGTAGCAATCTTATAGAGGAAGCTAGGTTGCATGGATACAGGCGTGGACATACATGGGAAATTTGTATAAGGAAGATACGGGGACACGGCTATATAGATATAATTTACATTAGATCAAAATATTGTGTTAGAATACCTATAACATTTTTATGTTCCGTTTATTATCCATAACAATTAAGAAAATCAAACTAAGAATTAGGGTTCAACAACAAAAGTTCATTTAATAAGAATAATAGAAAGTTGTTCAAATCAAACTAATAATCACAGCTTAAATAAAATTGCAGCATAAATAAAGTAAATAGAGAACTTAAAAGTAATCACAGATCAAATAAAAAAAATTGCACTTTGCATAGAGATTTTCTTTAAAGAGATTGCAGCTTTGAACCACACTTGTTCATGGCATGTTTGCGGTGAATCCGTGTCCGACACGTGTTGGACACGGATACAGAATGCAAAATGAAGTGTCCGGGTAACCTAGAGTAAGCATTGGCCCAAGAACATATAATCATCTAAAGAACTTTATCAGTGTTAAACTACCTAAGTTCTAATAATCCCATGTGAGTTATTATACAAAGAGTGGTCCTATAGCAATAGAACAGTTTTTATGCCAATAAACTAAATAACTTCTTAAAGGATCTCGCCCGTAAGGATAAATATTGAAAAAAAGTGATATAGAATCAGTTAACATTATATATGGTTATATAAACCAGAGAATGGATGTGGGTAAAAGAATTACCGTGCGGGTGCTGTATGCCCAAGAATTTTGCCAGACCATTGCCTTTTCACCCTTCTCATTCTCAAAATTGATCTCAAACATCTTCGCAAAATTTTGGCCAAGGCAATGTGAGGTGGCACCTTGTACTCCTCGACCAGTATTTGGAATAAATGCCTATCCAGCAATGAGATGTAATGCGCTTAAAAAGAGTTTCTCATCTAAATGAGTTCATAATCGAGTAATGACAAACAGACCAATCAAATAGTCAAAGATGAAAGTGAAACTGAAGTACCTCAACACTTGTTGTGTAAAGCCCACCAGCAAATTTTTCAAGTTCGCTTTTCTTCCCCTTGACAACAGGAACTGCCAAGAATTCTTCATATATCCTTCGGTATAGTTCCAATATTTCAAGAACCTGACACATGGCATACAAATATAAAAAAAGGGGCATAAAGGTGCATGCTTTACGATTTATTAAATAGGAGAATAAAAGTCCAAAGCAGCACCGTGGACCAACAGATCTTTTAGGAGCCATTGACACCCCAGTATCTTTAATATATGTATGTTCACATAAAAGAACAGTTGCATCACTATCAGCCTGGTACTCTTAAGGAAAGAGAACCGTGTTACCAAAATAACTGACGGAAATTTACAAGAACGCGAGGCAGAGGTTTTAGTAAAGAGAAAAAAAAAGAGAGACAAGACACAAAAAGAAAGGGTGTTGGGTACAACGTTTCATTTTTTAAAATGAAAATATCACAAGCATCTCATGAAGTTAGCTTCAAGTTTTGATGCTCAAGATATAACGAAATCATCGAGGTTCAAGTTAAGGCATCCCTCAGGGAAGATCGGATGAGGTTTTTAGAATGCTATTTTAACCTTTCACTCACTAGGCAGGAGAAGAAAAGTTAAAAGAAAAAAATAATTTGAACCTTCATTTATTTCTTTTTTCTTAAAATAACCAGAGGAAAATCACTTTCCCATGTCTTCTTTCTCCTTCCTTCCCTTTCTAATGAGTATTAAAAAAATTACCCTTAATATATCTTCAATTATAGATATAAGAAAACAAGTGTTTTGACCGCAGTTAAAAATCAGAATTCAAATTAAATTGCTAAACAAGATTTGAAATATGAACACCCATATTACCTGGGTACTTCTATCATGAAGATATATGCGTACCCGGCACGTACCTGACATGTTTCTGTGCCCAAACTTCATGGACACTGCTTGAATATATGCATACATTTATTATAACATGTATACAATTTTATGATATATGTTCTAATGTAAAACGCTTGTCAAACATTTCTCGGACGTATAGCTTACACTTCACATCCATTTCTTGAAACTAGCCAGATACGGGTCGGGTTCATCTCATGTCATACCCAAGTTCAAAACTATAAATTTAAAGGGTTGTTTGAGTGTCTAGTTCAAAAATAAGTAGTTTCCAAATTATAATAATCAATATAATAAAAGAAACTTAAAAATGTGATAGGAGTTTTAATTCTAATAACACATAAAATGAAAAACAATAATGATCTCATGTAAATTATTAGTTCCAATATAGATGTAGTTGTGTTCCTGTACCCTACATTTTACATTTTTATCGTGTCCCATACCAGAACCAATACCAGTACCTGTTTCCATGCACTGTAGATCAACACTCACTCGATGCAGCGCCCCTCAACATCAAAACAGAATGGCAATGGTACCAATGTATTTGAGGAAAGGGTTAAAAAATCTATCTCAAAAAAGAGTCGCTCAACACCACTGTTACATTTAGTGTAGTTTAATTATTGGAATAGAGGGTACTCAATGCAGCACCCCTTAACATCAAAACAGAATGGCAATGGGTACCAATGTATATAAGGAAAGGGTTTAAAAAAATCTATCTTAAAAAACAGTTGCTTAACACCACTGTTAGATTTAGTGTAGTTTAGTTTATTGGAATAGAGGGTATAGACCCACTTTTAATTAAATCCGGTTGCATCATCAAGAAGATGATATTTGAGTACTTCATAACATGGTATCGGAGCACTTTTTATGAAATATAATTCAACCTCAAATCTCTATCGAAAAATCAACTGAATCTCCTCCACCACCCTTTTAAAAATAAACTGTAACCTTTCAATAAAAAATACTTGGCACCAAATCCCTCTCTCCCTCGCGTCACTTAGTCAGACAGATGCAGTAATTTGCATAATAATTTGCAGATTAATGGTCAAACACAGAAATAAAACAGTTGAGGTTGTTGACACAAATCATTATCTTGTTACCATCTATGAAGCACGGACACGAACACGACACGGACACGGCAAAACCTAAAAAAATAGGACACGGCGACACGGGTAGATTTTTTTAATATTATTATTATATATAGATCAATATTGAATTAAATTCCTATTACATTTTCATATTTTTTTGTTATGTAAAGTGGAGATTATAAATAAGAAACTAATGGAAAGTGTGTGTTGCAGGTGTGAATTAAGACGTCGGGATGACAATGATCTCTTGGAGAATTGAAGACAATAATGTTAAAGAAGACAAGAAATTAAAGAAGACAAGAAAGAAAAGATGAACACATAGAAAAATAGATCAATTTTTATGTTGTATTATTATGTAACATTGGCTTGTATAATCAATGACAAATAAATGACAAATATAAGTTATGTAACTGATTTGAAGATAATACCAAATTTTAATTTTCACTACTTTCATCTTGAGCATATAAAAATACAAGAGAATAAAATTCAAGTTGCAACTAGTTCAATGGCTACAAAATACTAAGTTACTAACATTGTAAAAATATAAAAATTACACTCAAAAGCGTATCTTAAAATAATGTTTTCAAGTTGAAACATCAATTATTCCATTTCTCCAAGTTCATTGACTGTAATTAATTAACTGTAAATTAACTGTACATTGACTGTAATTAATTAACTATAAATTAAAATAATTATTCCATTTCTCCAAGATCATGACTAGGTAAATTAAATAGCAATTAACATTAACATTGACTGTAAAATAGCAATTAACATTAACATTGACTATAATTTAACAGTGACTAGGTAAATTAAATCGGAGAGATAAAAACAAACAGTGAAATATTCTTGAAATTAACTTCTGTAATTACATCGGAGAGAGAAAGGGAGAGATAAAAACAGAGACAGAGAGGGATCGGAGATCGAAAAAAGAGAGAGAATCGAAGTAGAAAGGGAGAGAAAGAGGAAGTGATCGGAGACGACGGAGAGATAGAGAGATCGATAGAGCGACTGAGAGAGAGATCGGAGAGAGAGAGACTGAGAGATCGAGAGATTGGAGAGACTAATCGTTAGGGTTTGGGTTGTTGAGAGGACAATAAGGACGATCGAGGCTTGTACCCGACGAGGACGATCGAAGCTGGTAGCCGACGAGGACGCTCGAGGACGACGAGGACGATCGATAGAGATGGCGGCGTTTGCTTCTCAGTCGCGATCAAAGAGAGAGCTGAAGAGCCGATCGGGTAAGTTAAAACTAGGGTTAGGGTTTGGGTTTTGGGTTTACAGTTTTTCTTTTTTCCTTACCTCTCAGCCTTGTCGGGAGCGAAATAAGCGTGTCCGCCGCGAGTCGGCGGCATTGACCGTGTCGACGCCGTTGACGACGTGTCCGACGCGTGTCGAACGCGTGTCCGTCTCCGACAAGCGTCGGACACGGACTCGGAGGGATGTTTGCAAGAGTCGGTGCTTCATAGGTTACCATTGTAGAATAAATTTTGAAGGAGAATCAAGGATCCCAAAGATTGCAACAAACCGTATTGGAACTCTAACAGCATATCATCAGCATATTTGACTCAGCATAGCACAAATTTCTGATTTCTATCTTCAAATTACAAAATGACAACCCCCAAATAACATGTCATCATCTACCAGTAAGCATATAAAAGGGTAAGACTAATTTCTTATGCAAACAATTTGTCGGACATTCTTTGTTGATGTCAACAACATAAAGATGCCTTGTTTTAGGACAATGATTCAAATGATGAAAACATTGGAACAATTCCAAATTTGCAATTTACCATTAATTTGTATGTACAAGGAGAGAGAACTTGCATGTCAATGTTCATGGTCTTCAGTCATCTGAACCTCAGGCAATATGCAAAAGACTAGATAGTCCCAAATAAGGTAAATTTAGCATTCATCCCATATTGCAGTCATCTGTAACATTTCTTACACCAGTCTGAAATGCACCAAAGGAACATTGGAGGTTGCTTCCTGGGTTCTAGGTTCACGTTCCAGGAGGAAGATTATGCGCAGTATAACTAGGGAACTGTTAAGTTGATATAAAATACATACCTCTCATTGAGTTGGTTCAGGTAAGATAACTCGAGAAATGGATTGTACGTTTACTGTCTACATTTTTTACCTAGTTGTGGAATGGTCATTTAATCATCATAAGGATCTTTGGGTTCAGAGTGCTAGAGTGGACCTGAAGCAATTCTCAAGTCCAAAGTTTTACGCTGTCTTTAATGAGATATTGCTACTTATATATAGTCTATAATCAGAATGATAACTGTCTTGAGACAACGGGTTCCACATTGCACAAATGAAGAGACATGAAATTGGCAACCAGCCTCATATTTAAACTAGAACTCTGATCTTGATTTCAATAATACCAAACGAATCGTTGAAGGACATATATATATATACCTCTTCATCTGCTTCTTCTTTTGTTGCAAAAGCTGTATGCCCTTCTTGCCAAAGAAATTCTCGACTCCTACAAACATTTCAAAGAAAATTATACCTTAGCACTAATCTTCATCTGATATGGGATTAATCGCAATCTAGAAGAAGAAGAAAAGCCAGCCTCAACACCCAAGGTATTATAATCAAGTCTAACTACCAGACCACAATTTAACACCAGGGAATGGAAACAAAATCCATTCAGTATAATACTCATTTGTGGCCTGTAACGTGACAGAATGTTACATCTGCAGAATGTTAGTATAGCATGAATAGCAGATACCAAATGAAAGATGGTTATAGTACTACAACTAGCATGCCATATTAGTAGAGGACAACTAAGTATGATAATGATTCAATAAGCATACTCTTCACATTAAACTTCACGTATATGCCTATAGAATAGTCTTGACAGCCCTTTTCTGAAGTTCTTTGAATCCTATTCAGATTTGCTAAAGCCTCCTAAACCTCAAGCATGCAAAAAAAAAAGGTTTGACAAAATACAGCTATTACCTAATGAAAGGAGTGGGGTGGCTAAATTCCCAACGCACCACATTGCACCATTGGTTAAGCTTCAACGGCAAATCCCTGTGCCCTCTAATCCACTTAGAATAATATGGATACATAACAGTCTCACTTGTTGGACGGATTGCAATAGGAATCTCCATTTCACTCTGCCCTGATTTCGTAACCCATGCAACCTAAAATAGTAATAAAAACAGAGCAACAGAGTATGTTAGAAAACCAGAACACTGTTAACAATGTAGAGAACTCAGATAAAAGAAAACAGAAGAATAAAGGTAAAACAAAATAAACAAATATTATGCAAAAGCAGCAGTGTTTCATCAATAAGTTATAAGGTTTGTCTTCAATAAGCCAAAGCACATAATATGTGGAAGATGTTAAATCAATATAGTAACAAGGGAAAAAACAACGGTATAGAAAGCTACAAACTCGTTTTCCATGCATTTTTAACTCTAGAGCAAATGCAGAGTGTTGTCTTTAAGGACACATGCCTGCATTTAAAAGGTGATGGATGACCTCACCCTAGACGCATCTAGGTCTCATAATATAGTAGACTCTTGTCCTAAGTGTCTCATTACATTTTTACTTCCATCATTACTACTCGAAGAAAGGAGAAATATTTTTCAGTAATTACAAGACCAAGACTAAAGATAAAAACAATTTGAGAGTCTAGGACATGGGAACTTGTACAAGAAATGTTATAAATGTCTCCTATAAAGTGTCCAAAGTTAGAACTGTGTGTTATAAATTAAGCACATTTTGGAAAGTAACAATACTTATCCATTGTGTGGACAAGAAGAAGAATCAATGTCCAACACGTACCAATGTGTCAGACATGAGTATGTCTCCATGAAAAAAGTGTCCATGCTAAATAGCATACATCCCTTGGAGAGAGAAAAATTGCAAAAATGATTTCACTTTTGACATTCTTGCTTATGAACTATTCAATCATAATTACAAAATCATGTGTTCTTAACCTCAATACAGCCACACTATGCATGTCTTACATATCTGCAACCTTCTAGATGGTTAAATGCCAAATATCTCATGATTTTCTATGTAAGATTGCTCATATGTTGCTAAATGCAACATAAGTTAGCACCACTATACAAATTATGAATCTTACTCTTACATTAAAGCATAAGTACATTAGAGATTGCAAATAAAGCATAAGTACATTAGTACATTAGAGATTGCATAAGTACATTAGCACCACTATACAAATTATAAATCTTACTCTTACATTAAAGCATAAGTACATTAGAGATTGCAAATAAAGTATTGACCCAATGAAAATAATACAGATCTCAAATTAGCAAATTATTTGGTCATAAACAATAGCAACTGGCAAGATAATTAAAAATGATCAAAATCACCTCCGGAGCAAATCCCTCAATATGATCCTTCTCTTTGTTCAAGACATTCTCGGTGACAAATAGTGGGAAGTAACAGTTCTTAATTTTCATTTTCTTTATTTCAGCATCAAAGAACGTCTGCAGAATTCAAGTGTCAAGAAAAAAAAAGTATAACATCACCAATTTGACATCCTGCCAATTGATATTTTCTAATTAAAATATGCCCAGGAGACATATTAAAAAAAAATAAGAATGTCAGCGTATGCTTTAAAAAAATCAAATATTAGAAACATGCTCCACAAAGCTGCCAGCCTTCAATCTGTCGATAAGAGGGAAAAAGTAACAAGATAAATGAAAAACATAAAAGACTAAGGACATCATTCATGCAAGTTATTACTTATTATACCAATGAATTTAGCAGTTGCAATATTCCAATTATGCGAGAATCATCAACTTTTTTGTCAGCTATTCTGTGGCTCAAAAGTTCCAAATTACATTATTTCTCATCCATGATCCATATACATGTTTGTAAACAGAGAACCCTTAAAATAGTGATATCATCATCAGTTTGACGGGGAGGGACTAAAGTTATGCAGAAGTTTCCTTCTAGGAATCTGAAGTCATATATATATAAGGGATGCTGTTTAATTAAAATAGCATCTGAAATCTAGTGGAATTTTGAAGAGCAGCATATGATTAGTCTTTATAGGTGGTATAGAATTGCTAGCCTGACAATCCATATCACTACGATGCAAATTAGGCCACTTTTTATTGTTTAACATCCAGTGACATATTATACTTCGTGGGACATAAAGAATTATTTCAATGATAGCGCATAAAACACCAACTGAAGGCTTGAGTCTTCCAAGTTCAGAATCATACAACAAATTAACCATAAATAAATAAAAGAGCAAACATGCATATCAGCATTGTTACATATAAACTGTTATTGCCAGATATCAATTCTGGCAGGGTTATGATGCTTTCTAATCATGCATATCAGCATTGTTACATATAAACTGTTATTGCCAGATATCAATTCTGGCAGGGTTATGATGCTTTCTAATTATGCCTTCTTTTTGCATTGTATCATTAGAATTGACCGCATTTAATGTTACTTATAATGTCGGACACTTTATAATAAAAGTTTGTCAATAACCTATAGCAGTAGCAAAGCAGAGAAGGTGAACATAATCATAGTAAACATGACCGTTGTTAAAATAAAATAAAAAACAAACTCCACACTTAACAACTAACTTGCATGGTCTCCCAAATAGCCATTGTCCAAGGCCGTAGAATATAGCATCCAGAGACATCATAGTATTCAATCATGTCCCCATTAACAACCACCTGAAACAACAACAGAAATCAAAACAAGTAACAACAAATATTCCAAAAAAAAAACCAAAAATGAAAAACATACAACGATAAAAATAACAATACCTCAGAGTACCATTCTCCAAAGTTCTCATCCTTTTTGAAAGTCAAGCCAAGTCCAGTCTCCTTCTTCACTTCCTTCTTTTTCGCTATCATATCGATAAACAAAATAAGATCAAAATCTTTTTCACAGTTTAAAAACAACAATTCTAGGGTTTAGTATATCACCATTCTTTGGAGGCATGGTTCCCCGCCGCAAACCAACTGAAAATCTCCTACAATCACATAAACCATTCATGAATAAACGTGAACTTAATGCAGCAAACTGAAGAACAAAAGGAGATGAGATTGAGATCCCTCGGTTGATGCCTCTTATCTATGTACCTTCTAGGGTTTGAAACCTCCCCTTGTTTCGATGGAGGAAACCCTAGATTTAGAATGAACCCTAGATAACCCCATGTTTGGTTTTCGAATTGGATCGATTCGGGTCCAAACCGAGGTACAAAGAACCGGACTAAAGGCGATTTGGAACAAAATCGGAACATTTTTAGGGAGAGAAATTATTAGAGAGAGAGAGAGAATGTAACCAATTGAAGAGGAGCCGGCGGCGCTGGACTCGGTTCAGGACGGAGGAGATTTGATGCTGAGGAAATAGAAAAAGAAAGCGGACTTGTCACAAATACCTTGATTATTTTTACGCGAAGATTACGCGTTTTGTCTTAAAGCAGATTTGGATCCACGCAGTGAGTGAATAAACGATAATGCTCTTTCTAATTTCATCGTTGACTAATTAAAATGTTCTAAGCTTAAAGACTATCGTATCTGCTAACCAATAATTATTATGTATATGCTTTGATGCGAGACTTTGTATAAGTCCTTACTCCTTAGGCTTAGTATTAATAATTCTTATTATATCATACTTCACACTTCATATCATACTCTCTCTAATAAAAGTGTATGTTTAAGAAAATCTTTTCATGATTAATATTACTCTAGATTCTTTTAGATATTACATTTTAATCCTCCTAATACGCTATATTTGAGAATTTTTTTGCTTTTTATCCTTTTTTTTGTTAAAACTAATAGCCAAAAGATTATCTTTCCTTTTTAATATTCTGTTTTATCTTTCCTTTTCTATTAAAACTAATAATATTTTTGTATGTTTCTATTTTGAATTTTCCTATTTTTTCTTTCTTTTTTTCCTTTTTTATTATATTATTAAAATTAACAATTAAGTTTTTATTGAATAACTGCATTTTATTTTTTTAATTGAAACTAGGGAAAATTGCTCCAAGGCCCCAAATTTTAATTTTCAATGTGCCCCAGCCCCCCTAACTCTCAACAATGTGCTGCAGCCCCATTTTTTGAAAATTTTGTGCCCAGGCCCCTCTCCCCAAGTTCCAATGCAAACTTCATCCAAAATCTTGATTTTACCCTCCTCCTCCTTTAGTCCTCCTCTACCGCCTCCCCCACCTCCCTCCCCAGCTCCGCCTCCCTCCCCCGCTCCGTCGCCGGAGCCTTCCCAAGCACCGCCGCCTCCCTCCCCTCCTCCACCTCCCTCCCCCGCTTCGTCGCCGGCGTCATCCCGAGGAACTTCGCGTAGGCAGCGACAGTCATGGTTATCATGTTAATATGTTAACTCTTACAGATAACATGTTAACTATTAATAGTTAACATGTTAACTTTTTATCATATTAGTCCTTTAGTTTTTTAATATTTTGCAGTTACTCTCTCAAATCATTGAAATTGATAGTAGCTCCCTAAATCTTATAAGTTATTTGAAAATTAGTCCTCAAATCTCTGAACTTGCTATTAGGTCCCCAATTTGTATAAGTTATATCAGTATATATGAGTAGCAATAGTGGGATATGACAATTTCAGGACCTAATGGAAATTCAACGATTTGAGGGACTAATTTAAAAAGATTTAAGAGGGTTTAATATAAGAAAAACTAGGAATAAATAGGAGTTGTATCTTAATTTGGTTAGTAATAGTTTGAAGAATGTGAACCGCGTGGATTAGGATTCCCCTTACACCTCCCTCCTCCTCTGGTCCCCCTCTGCCCCCTCCCCCACCTCCCTCCCCCGCTCCGTCGCCGGCGTCATCCCGAGGAACTTCGCGTAGGCAGCGACAGTCATGGTTATCATGTTAATATGTTAACTCTTACAGATAACATGTTAACTATTAATAGTTAACATGTTAACTTTTTATCATATTAGTCCTTTAGTTTTTTAATATTTTGCAGTTACTCTCTCAAATCATTGAAATTGATAGTAGCTCCCTAAATCTTATAAGTTATTTGAAAATTAGTCCTCAAATCTCTGAACTTGCTATTAGGTCCCCAATTTGTATAAGTTATATCAGTATATATGAGTAGCAATAGTGGGATATGACAATTTCAGGACCTAATGGAAATTCAACGATTTGAGGGACTAATTTAAAAAGATTTAAGAGGGTTTAATATAAGAAAAACTAGGAATAAATAGGAGTTGTATCTTAATTTGGTTAGTAATAGTTTGAAGAATGTGAACCGCGTGGATTAGGATTATGTTATATATTTAAGTTAAATATATTGTATTATTGTTGTATATTTAATATACTTAAGTTAAATATTTAACATATTTTTAGGATAATAATATAGGATATTTGAAGTTGAATAAGAATATAATTAGGTTATTGCGAAAATTAGGATATTTAGTTTACATGGGATTATGATATAATTAGGATATTTGAAGTTGTAGTTCACATGAGATTAGGATAATTAGGATAGATTTGAATTGAAATGTAATGTCTAAAAGAGTTAAGGGTATTTTTGTCTACCGAAAGATTTTCCCGAACTCGTGCTTTTAAAGGGAGTATGATATGATATGATATGATTATTATATTATATTATATATTATATAAATTATAGTATAATATAATAAAATATGATTCTTTTCTTGATTTATTCACTAATTATTTTATTTTTCTTTTCTTATTTTTGGTTTGGTCGAAGCTGACAATACATCCTAAAAACTAAAAGAAGACCAGCTAAAAGAATTGAAAAAAAAAACTAAAAGAAAAATAATTAAAACTAAAAGAAGGGTAAATTGCATGTAACCCTCCTCATCTATATCTTGAGCTGCTAAACTCCCTCAACTTGTTTATCGGCACTTGCATTTATTTTAATAGTTTGTAATTGTAATTTGTTCTTATGTTGAAAGGTCTTTTCCTTCCTGTAGTAATTATGTGCTAATACATCAAGTGATGGCATAATCTGAAATCCCCCCGTTTATGGTCCTGAGTGCCAAACCCTCTCCGCAAACATACATGGAATCACATCTTATATACGCGCGCGCACCTCGCGAAAAGAAAATTACTCAATTGTGAAATTGGGACACTATCTTAACTGCAACTTTTGCACACCTCTATCAACCTCCGTGATTCTGTAGTCATTGTGATTTTCTGGTTGATTTTGTAAGATTGCCGTATTTACATACAGCTACAGGAAAATTGCCACTAAATTTCACATGTAAGTTACTGAACAACAAATATTGTTTATGCCCAAAAACAAGGAAGTTCCATCCAATCTCAGTTAGTAGGTGGGCACAATACTAATCTGGAGCTCGAAGCAATTCTATAAGGCTCATGGTATAAAAATTATTCGGAATGTTATAAGAATATGCTCCTATTTTACAATATTATTTCATTCTCAGTTAGTAAAATTATTCGGAATGTAATTTAACCAGGCTGTTGTATAGTGGTATAAACTGATACATGTTAATCCAATAGAAGCAATAGGAGACCCCCAAAAAAATCAGTTAATCCAAATCTATGAAGAATTGGGAAATTTACTGAAAATTAAAATTAAAAATAGAAGCGGAAAGAGAAGGCCAAAAAACTCAGATAATCGAAATCAATGAATACTTGGGAAATTGAGTGAAAATAAAATTAAAAATAGAAGAGAAAGGAGATGCCAAAAAACCGTGAACGACGACGAGATTCGAGGGCGGAGTCGACGACGAGCTTCGAGGGCGCAGTCGACGACGAGATTCGAAGAACGACGAGCTTCGAGTTCAGTTGTGAACGACAAGTATACGGAATAATAACCAAATAATAATCTGAGTTTTGAAAATTAGTCCTTGATCAGATCTGAAGAAGGCGGCGGGCAGATGCAAAAGAGAAAACCTAGCCCTAAAACCCGATTCTTAACTATTTACATGTATATAATGGGTATCATTTGTAAAAAAAATATTTACATAATAAATATTTGCAATAAGTTCAATTAATAGGACTATCGAATCAAACAGTTTATGAACTATCAAACATACATTTGGTTAAATTTCTATGAAAAATTTATCAAATTCATAAACTACCGAATCAAACATATCTTAGGTTAAATTCTATTTATTTATAAACCAAATACTAAAAAAAATTAATATTAAATGAAATATCGCTTCGAACTTGATCATATATAAACGAATAATAACCAAATATTAATTAATTTTTCAATTCACTTTCACCACTATACTTAATTTATAGCAGAATATTAAAATTATTTATAGCATAATACTTAATTTTGTTAACATAATCAATATTTGCTGAATATAATTTAAAATTCGTGCTTTGCATGGGTCTAAATATTAGTATTGTATATCATATCATACTCCTTTTAAAAGTACGAGTTCAGGAAAATCTTTTTATGGTCAATATTACTCTTAGTTTTTTTAAATATTACATTGTTATCCTAATCTATTCTAATTACCGTATCTTTTTCGAATTAGTAACCAAATGATTTATTTTATTCATAATGAGACTTAACATGTTATTGGAAAAAATAAATACGTTTAATATAATTCAAATCATTTACTTATTTCAGTTCGTAGAAAAATCTACAAAAATATGCTAGCGAGCACCTACAAGTTTTTGGACTTTGTAAAAATATTCTCCAAGTATTTTAAATTACAAAAACGACCCTACAAATTCAAAATTTTATTAAAGCATCTTGAAAATTATAAATTTTAATTATCTCAATTTAGTAAGAAACCTGAAAAATATATACTAACTAGAAACTAAGAGTTTTTTAACTTTGGTGAAAACATCTTGTAAATTTTAAAAATTTTAAAAACAGCCCTAAAAATTCAAAATCTACAAAAAATACCTTAAATTTTCCAAACCTATAAACATACTAAAACCTACAAATAACACAAACAAGGCCCAAAAATTTATGAAATTTGCAATACACACTCTGAACTTTTTACAAATTACAAAATAAAACCCTCAAAATTATAAAATTTAAAAAAATCATGATAGTTTTTGACCTAACAGTACATTAAAAATATAAGAATTATAAATATCCCCTACATAATTTATAATTAAAATACCTTAAAAAATTTAAACCTATAAACATACTAAAAACCTACAAATAACACAAACAAGCCCCAAAAATTTATGAAATTTGTAATAAAACCTATAAACATACTAAAAACCTACAAATAACACAAACAAGCCCCAAAAATTTATGAAATTTGTAATACACACTTTGAACTTTTTACAAATTACCAAATAACACAAACAAGCCCCAAAAATTTATGAAATTTGTAATACACACTTTGAACTTTTTACAAATTAAAAAATAAAACCCTCAAAATTATAAAATTTAAAAAAATCATGATAGTTTCTGACCTAACAATACATTAAAAATATAAGATTATAAATATCCCCTACATAATTTATAATTTATAGAAAACACCCTTAAAGTTTCAAAAATTATAAACAAACATTTAAAATTCAAAATTTATAAAAAACACCCTAAAAATTTTAAATTCATTAGTAAATTGAAAGCATAGGAATTATAAACGGTCTATAAATAATTTACAATCTATAGAAAATGCCTATAAGTTTAAAAAATTATTAAAAAATCCTTAAAAGAACATAAATAATTAAAAAATCTATTAAATTTTCATGGTAAATATTACCCAGAACTTTTTTAAAAAGAACATAAATAATTAAAAATCTATTAAATTTAAAATTTACAAAAAAACACCCTTAAAGTATAGTACATTGCAAATTATCCCTCCAAAATTTGAAATTTTGCAATGATTTTTTTGTAATTCCTTGATTTCAATGTAATGTTTAATAGTTTTGTGTATTTGTAAATTACAAATTTTAGGGTATTTTTTTACACTTTTTAAAACTTTTGTGGGTGTTTATTTTGTAGTTTTTTAAATTTTTATTGTGTTTTCAGTGTAATCAATATACATCAATTAATGATGATATTGAAGAATAAGTCGTTCTTAAAATTATTAGACCATAGTTAAGTGTGTATATCACTATTCCTAGGCAGTATAGTTTATATATGCAAAAATTTTCAGACAATCTATATAATGGTTAAAATGATTTTGACTTTAATGTACTATTTTTTACAAATTGTATTTTATGTGAACCCACCATATAATTTTGACTGTGCTTATCATAATTTTAATACGTTTGATTGATTGACTATATACATATATAGAACATAGATTACTTTACTTTCTCACATGAGCTAATATTTGGTGCTTAATAATTTAAATTATTACTTTTAAATTTAATACAAAGAGGAGCTCTAATAACATTTATTTATTTACCTACAGCATCATACAATCTCAATTCATATTTTGTACTAGAGATTTATTCCATAGTTACGCGTATCAAATTAGTAACTAAAATAATAATTATTTATGCTTAAATTAGGATGATTGTAGTTGGTCACTCAGTATAAAAATTTTATGAAGATATATACCTTAATTACTTTTTATAGCTATATGCACTGCCCATGTATATTTTATAAATTAGTTCTTAATTTGACATATTAAATTACTTTTCCTTTGTAGAAATTTCTTTCTTGACTTTTAGACTATGTAATCACTTTATCATCATTCTAGCATAGAAAGGACATCACTCTAAATAGACTCCAAGCCAATGTTTGAGTTGCATTGAAGTATATACTATTGCTACTATGTGTATATATTTTAAGAAAATCATGTCAACACTTTTTAAATAGAAGAGAATATTCTAACATCTGATATTATAAAAACTGAATATAGCAAATTGAATTATTAGCAAAAGAGAACTTACATCAGAAAAATATGAATAATAAGATAAAGAGGAAAGTTAATGACATTGCTAATAGTACTACAAATAGCAAACTACAATGTAAAATTAACATATTTTGTGGAGCCCAACTACTACCTATAAGCATCGAGGTTTCCATATATATACTTTATAATTTATTAAAAATGGTCATATAATCTTATATAATTCTTATATAATAAAATTGATTTAATATTAAATAGTAATATCGTTGTAATAATATCATTATTAGGAAAAATTCTTCATGAATCGATATGTTCTTTACGATATATAAGCTATGCACTCCAAATTCTTGTGTCTTTTATAGAGCAAAAAAGTTTGAATACGAGTATCTAACATGTTGCTATCACAAACAGCAAAATCTACTTAGGAGATATGGATATTCCAGATGAGTTATGTATCCTATATATAATAAATTGCCCTAGGCAACTGAGTTATAATAGCATTTTTTTATTCACATCATTTGGGGTAAGATTTGATAAGGACCTTGCATCAAAGATTTTTTTATATATATTTAGAACATATGGCGAAATATATCATAATCTTCCTGTTTTAATTTCGTAAGAAAATAATTCTTCACACTTTCAGTTTTACTTCTATGATACAGAGAATGAGCTATAGAATTGAATGAGAATATTATTTTAGATAATATAAATATGAGTGAAATATCAACTAAAAGTTAACGTGAATTTGAGTCAAACCACGACTAAAAGTTTAATGGACATATTGCAAGTAAATTCATATGCAAAATTCCTTTGCGATGAGTCAAACCACGACTAAAAGTTTAATGGACATATTGCAAGTAAATTCATATGCAAAATTCCTTTGCGAATTGAATGATCACCCATCTTTTGAAGACTTCAAGATACTAATAAATAGAGATGTTGTACTATATTAATGCGTTTATAACTTACAAATAGTAGATCACGTGGCCACAGTCTGGGTTGAAAGGAAACAATGACAATATTTTATTTAAGAGAGAGCTTATTGAGTCGATGATCAATATAAAAAAAAACTTTGTTTTTTATTATTATTTTTACTCTATTTTTATCAATGTAAATAATCATGATATTCAACCACGTGCATTGCACGTGCATCTCAACTAGTGCTCAAAAACAAGGAAGTTCCATCCAATCTCAGTTGGAAGGTGGGCACAATACTAATCTGGAGCTCGAAGCAATTCTATAAGGCTCATGGTATAAAATTATTCGGAATGTTATAAGAATATGCTCCTATTTTACAATATTATTATGCTATCTTCCTCTTAATCCGCCTCTATCATCGATTCATCAACCTTTCAACTCGTCTTCGTTATTCCAAATTAACGCAACAATCTCTCTGAACATTTTTGTCAAAGACATCGACATAAGTTACAAACACCATATGTGTAAATCTAGTTACTATCTAGATTAGTCTTCAGAAACTTTGCCGCTGTGTCAAGGAAGTATTACACCATGAAAGACCCTCTCCTATGCAACTGAACTCTCTCCCTCAACTCCTCAAAGGCCCGCATTGTATCAGAATCGAGTCCTCCAGCAAACTGCCAGATTAAAACACCATAAAGTTCTTTTTATTGTATTTGTATAAGCGCATGAATCCGATAAACAATTTTCTGCACTAAAATTTACTTGCCTGGTATGCGCGGTAAGCAAAACGCACACCCTGAAGTAGAAGCGCTTCTTGTATTGATTCTCTCTCTGGGTTTCTTACTGACTCGAGCTCTGTTGACACTCTCTTGATATAAATTTTTGCGAGTTTCACAGATCCCATCTTTATCTGCACAAACAATATTGCAATCTATTATCATTTTCATGAAACAAAATAATCTTATTGTTCTTTTTTTTTTTGATTTTTTTTGTTTTGCTTTTATGTCCCATATTTTTGGTGCTTGTGAACCTGATGTAGAGAAGGAGCTGAGACAATGCATGATATTAGAAAGAAGTTATTGAACACAAATAATGACAAGTTCTGCTAATAGTTATGGTAAGTGAACGGTATAATACACAAACAGCAAGTTGCATACCTTGCAAATAATTCCTGAATCAAGCATCCACTCAGTGGGAATTTTGAAGTCCCTGTAAGAGACCATGGTTGTGTCTCTAAACTTAATCAACCTCTGAATGCTTCTCTCTGACCTGCCACCACAGTAATAAAAAACAAAATAAAACAACAAATTGAGATGCAGAGTTCATAAAGTGAACCAAGAAGTGACCACTAATGAGTTTGTTGTACTCACTTATCTTGTATGGTTGTGATCTTCTTCAAGATGGCATCACATGGAAGTGATGTGCCATTCTCAAGGGAAGAAACTTCAATTAGGAGTTTCTTAAGATCACGGTACTCGAAAGCAGCTTCTCTCAAAGCATCGGCTTTCCTTTCAGGCCAATTGAAATGCTTCAGTACAGCCCTCTCATCTGCCTGTAACAACATAATAAAGATCAAAACCGAAGAACATAAACATATATGATAAAAGCACAAAAATTAAATAAGGATTATCATTGAGCCTTTAGCTTTGAATCTTACACTATCTCCCCAAAGTTTTTCTTTGAGTTAATATTTCCCTGTAGAATTAAAGGGGAAAAAAGAACAGAAAAAAGGTACCAAGTGATAAAGCTAACAAATACATCCCTTAAAAATTAATCATCGCAACTAACATTGCAAGGCTGCTTTACCCTTAAAAAATAACTGAGATCGCTCCAAAAAAGAAATCCTTAATTCACCTTCAGGACATATTTATGATTTAATATAAAGCACAATACTTGCATTAGAGCTGCAGATCTAAAAGACAGTGGAAATAGAGCCCCCAGAACCAATATTGTAGGCTTGTAGCTCGAAGAACTCTACTACAGAGAAGACTTTATTTACATTAATATCGATTTAAATGGGGTAAAAAAAAGGCAGAAGAAATTATCATAACATCTGATTATAATTTCAACCAAACAAGCTGTAAGAATTACCAATATAGATAGTTGCCCGTCAAGCCAATCAACGAATTTTGTGACATCTTCAATATCAGTAAAAGCTGCAGACTGGACTTTCTGTATGAGATGATTGATGAAGTCACTTTTCTTCTCTACATCTGCTTTAATCTATGGAAACAGTTCAAGAATGAATAAGAGAAACAAGCACAGCTAAGGAGAAAAATCACAGGGTGTGTTTGCAAATATCTACCGCCAGTAAATGAGATGAACGGTTTTGAAGTTCATCAACAATGCTGTTATGAGCCTTATTAGCAAGCGGGCTAGCACAATTCTCACTTTGCATATTCCCATTCTTCCCATCTCGCTTTGTTATTGAATGGTAGAAATCTACGAATGTTGTAGGCTTCTGCATTATATTTGCTCTTGCAAGGGCATTTCGAGGAGGGGGAGGAGGTGGAGGTGGAGGTGGTCCAGCTACGGGAGAGGCCCGAGATGGAGGAGGTGGGGGTACTGGCAACTGAACTTTCAGACGATTTCCTACAGATTTCACTCCTGGTTCCAATGCTAAAGACTGCAATTTGGCAGGTTTGTTTTCTTTTGTGACTTCTTTTTTCGCTGATAAAAGGTCTAACTTATTTGCGATGATTTCTCGTACATCCTTAAATTCAGAAGGATGGAATTCTTTGCTGATAGATTCTGCCTGCATTAATTTTGAAAAACAAAGGCAAACAAGGTTATACATTTATAATTCATGAAATCATGAAGTGTAAAGAATAAGAAACCTGGGAAGATAAACTTGGATTCCGGAAATCAGGTTTTGAGCATAATATCAGTATCGGGTAGAGAACAAAGTCCTGTCTTCTACTTTATTTTCTCTGTATAAATTTTACCTCATCCTTCTTCTCAAGGGCTATAATTTTCGCTTCAGCCAAAGAGAGATCTCTTCCAAGCTGCTTATTCTGCGACTCCAGAAGAACATTTCGACTATGCAGCTTCTCCATCTGAGCCTTCAGAGCTGAAACCTCGGACCGCAACTCGTTTACCAAACTATCACTCACATGCAGTCTTCTCTCCAAGTCATCCTTCAATTTTCCGTCATTCTGACTCCCCAACCCCTTGCAATTCATGTCCGAATGGCGTCGAACACGTGCATACTGGTCAACAGCACGCGTTCGTGGTTGATCGACACCCTTTTGATCATTAGCCAGATCAATAGGCCTTCTGATTCTTGAACTGTTGTTTGCCTCTTTAGGAGGAGTTTTCGGGCTAGCTTTCGAGACCCCATTCGGAGAACCCAGTCTCGAGCTTTCCTTAGTTCTCGAAACTCTAGCACGCGCCACTGGCATTGGAGAGTGCTGGAGGCTTGACGATTTTCCCTCTGATGTAGGAACTTCTTGCTTCATGGCTCTCTGAAAAGTGAGAGGTACTAATGAAATTGGAGCAAAGTAACCCTGAAAAGGTTAGTAGTGTATAAGAAGCTTGTGATTCTGGTTTTCTGTGCCAAATATAGGATCCATCAACAGAGACAAGAAAGAGGCTGTATGAATCCCACTGACAGGTGACAAGCACAAAGCTGAAGTACAGAAACCAATCAAATGAGAAATGACATCCATAAGATTAGATGGGGGAATATATCAAAGTGCGTAGTGGGAACTTATTCAAATAAGATGTTGTCTTTAAGGGTGAGAAAGTAACAAAGGCAAAGTGAACAAAACCGAGAGTTAAAAGTAACAAAAAGTGAAAGTACATAAATTGGGAATATAGTAGATGATGGTAGGGCTAGCTTATAGGCGTATGTTCATTTAAACTTTGTCAAATTAAATATATATATGGGCTTTACAGGCATCGGATTCTTGAATGGAAGCATTGAATACTGATCCAACAACAGAAAGCCAGAGGGATTTACTGTATCGTGCACCGTTCATTGGGACTACCGCATTCAATACAAGAACTGCAATATGGAGAATTTTATTCTCAATGTTACATATAATAATGCAATTGTGGTGCCTGTGGTCTTACATAACATTCTGACTTAAAACCGAGGAAAGTTTCCAATCCCAATCCTTATCTCTTGATCTTTCATTTAGTCAACAATCAACATCTAACACCAAGATTAATATAATCAAGCCAATGGTTCTGCAATTAATCCCCTTTTTTTTTCTTTTCTTAAATTAAGAAAGAACTGCATGTGAACTTCTGATTACATGTACTGTACACATTATTGGAACTTCATTACTGTCCATTGCTATTAAAATACAGACAGTCAATAGGGGACCAAGAGCCCTTTCATTATTATCACCAAATGAAAACGAAAAACTTATATTAATCCAACACCCAACAACTATTTGGACAGGGAATAATCATATGTCATTAGGTTCTTCATGCAACCTCTCAAACCTATTTACCTCCTATCAATGATTCTCAAGATGTTGCAGTCTCTTAGCTGTTGTTTCCTTCCCCCTTGCTTCTTGATGCACATTGCTTTGCACTAGGACCACATAAGACATGCTAACTACTCCCACCAATCTTTAGTCTGTTCACATCGACAAATTTGATGTAGCCTCCTACGCTTAGAAATTAAGTTTTCTGGACCACTTAAGTCGAAACAATCGATAATTGACAACCATAGCTTAGAACACATTTTACTAAGAGAAAGCGCTTTATGAACTTTAAGCCGTGCATAATTGGTCTTAGATCATTAAGTGAGATATTAGACCAACATCCTCAATTAGCAATTTACAAAAAAAGGATGTATCTGTTTTTCTGCCTGACAAGCTAAACTGTCGACAAACTCTATTGTAAGAACTGCATAACCAAGTTAACTTTTGAACATTAATTGTCTCCAAGATTTCATAAATAATAATTCGAAAAATTCCCCAAGAACCCAAAATATGGGACCAACAGGAGGACAGGTGAGGTGTCCTCCTCCTATTGCATAATGAGCTGGCCATCCCATATTTTGGGTCCCTGTAGCAAAGCTTCATATCCAAACTCACGATCAAATACAATCGCAAATCTCCTAAATTTGAACAAACTTCTAAATTATAAAATTGAAGAACCCGTTTTCCCCCAAATTCCTTACAATTTTCAAAGAGCTACGACTATGAATGACTTCTTGAATTTTTTTTCCAAAAAGGATGTACCTTGTAGGTTTCTACGAGAGGAAGGAAATTTCATGAGCTCATTTTTAAAGCTATCAGTAACAGTAACACAATTAATTCTACTGAAAAAGAAGGATAAAAGAATAGCTTAATAGTTACCTCACAACAAAGCAAATCCAACCAGCTTCATTCTCTAGCCCATTCCCAAAAAATGCCCCCCCGCTAAAAGACGCTGCTTCAGCAAAAGCTAGGGGGGGGGGGGGGGTGGAAAAAGACAATGAACAGAGCATTACACAAGAACATTGGGCAAAAGTTAATGGTTGTTTAAGTTACAAAACAAAGTTCATTTATCTTTGGTGTGGCAACGTTTAGTGATCGATCAATTTCGCATCAATAGCTAATTAAGTTGGAAATTTACAACTTCCAATTAAATTATATTAAATATTACAGCTAAAGCAAATGAATGAAATCAGCAATATGTATGTATGTATATATCAATATATATAATATATATATATACTATATATATATATAGAGTTTATAATAATATATATTATAATATATATATATATATATATATATATATAATATAATATGATATATATATACAACAAATTAACACTTTAAAAATTTATTCCACGCATGCATATCCTAATCACTGAAAATCCCCAACACGAAAAATCAAAGAAACCAACACACATACAACAATAATAAATTTGTAAAAACTTACATATTAATCATGGGTTATCTTTAGGATTTTAGGGAGCAATACCTGGGAGGGTGGGGATAAATGGAGAAAGCAAAGAGAAGCTATAGCCTCCACTGAAGTTAATAAAGGAGGGGCTTGTTTTTATAAGCGGCTTGCGTGTGGGAGCACACTAAACTTAATTTTGCCTACCCTGAGGAATTTTGTGCAGGCGATCTGAGACCGTCCATTTGAACAAAGAGAGGCGCTACAGACACACTCTAAGGCACACCATCAACCACACTTCCTTTCTCTCTAGAGGCCCCACATGTCATTTTTTAAAAAAACCTCTGATGGACGTACGGTGGGCGTGGGCCATTGGGTTGAGGAGGCTGCATGAGGACAGGAGAACAGAAATATTGAAGGCGAGTGATGGCAATGTTTTAACAACGTATCCCGTTGAAGCAACACTTCATAAAATTCACATTTTCCAATATATGGCCTCCCAACTGAAATATTTAAGAAGCACACATCCCTCAAATTAATTTGCATTGGTCTTCTCGACTATAGATGTAATTGTGAAATAATCATCGTTGCAATCCTCAATTTGGTAGATTTTAAAAGAGATAAATCAATACAAATCTTAACGAAAAAGCGCGTTCAGCTATAACAAATGTTATCCACTGTTTGTTTGTACGGAAGTAGCAAAGAAGTAACTGAAGCAGAGGAAGTTTCTCCTACTTCAAGCTAAAAATTATGTTTGTTTCTCCGAAAAGACTACTTCAGCTACTTCCATAAATACAGATGTGGCGTCTAGGTGGCACACCTACTTCCTAGATTTTTCTTCCGCCCTTGAAGGCTCAGAAGTAGAGGAGAAGTGGATAAAAAGTGTGAACCACTTAAATTAGTGATTTACCAGGGGCAGATGACCTTAAATAATATATCCAATTTCTATCCAAACAAACAAACAAATAAAAGAAGATGGTGAAGTACTATTTCCGTCACTTCTAAAAAAATATACGAAACAAACAAAATAAATACTACTTCCGCTACTTTTTACTTCATAATTGAGAAAGTTATGTCTTTGATCCGCTTCTTATTTCTAATAGTTACGTCCATCCAAACGGGAGTTGTAAACTCCCCTCCACCTACCAACATATGCACTTTTCTTATATGTTCCTCTATTATATTCTCTATCGATATAAGTGTTTAAGGCCTCTATATATGCACAAAAATGAAAAAAAATAATAATAATAAAAGAAATAATCGGTTCCTTTTGAATTAATTTTACGTACGTATATCCAACTAGCTTAATTCATATTATTTCTGAGCTATTATAGTGCACTAGCCATAATTTGCTCTTAACATTTTAAGACATATATTCAAACTAATAGAAAGTCGAATCTTACTGAATAAATATAAGTTAGTTAGCAATCAACAGAAGCTTATAAATTTGTTGCAACTTTCACCTAATGCACTTGACTCTATATATATTTAATTCAAACCGTGTCACGCCCATGCTCGTAGAGTAATTTGTACTCATTTCTTCAATAACAACTAAACTATGGTCTATAATATGCCCTAGTCACCCTTTAATCATAAAAAAAAGGAAAAAAAAGAAAAAAAAAAGAAAAAAAAAGAACAAAGTTGTTGGGAATTGTAGGGTAGTGGTGGAATCCTAGTCATTTTGTTCTTTTACTTTCACTCCCTTAAGTTTAATTATGGGGCTAAAGACTAATAAGTCGTGACGGTGAAATTAGTGTATAACAACAATTCAAATGCTTTGGGAGCAATCAACACTCCAGTTGTTTGACGGACTTTTGGTCCGATTTTTTCCATACTAGCTAGCACGTGTGCATTAAGGCCCTGTTTGGTTGATGTTTTTGATCTCGGGTGTTGGGCAGAAAGCCTGTCAAAAGTGCTCTTTTGACAGGCTTTCTGTCCAACACCCGAAACCAAAAACATCAACCAAACGGGCCCTAAGAATCTTGTAATTAAATTATGGTCACATGTTTTGATTAAAGTCGCCACCAGAATGAGTATGCCAAAATTAACTTAATAAATCATAAAAGTCAATATTGAAATTTCCCCTTTATTTTTTTAAACTAATTGTTGCTCGCTGGCCAAAAAAAAAAAAGTATTCAAAAGGGCTTTTGGGCCAGACTTGCTCTTTGATAGAAAGGCCCATGGTTTGCACGTCCATCATAAAATAGAGGTTTTAATGCAAAATTGGGAGGCTGAAACAGGCGGCGATCGGAGATCGGCTACGGCGACGGCGACGAAACGACGGCGACGATGGAAGAAGAATCGACTGCTCCTCCTCCTACTTTGAAGCTCGTCAGTTTCATCTCCGAAGAACAGGTCTTTTTCTGCTCTTAACCCCTGAAACCCTAACCCTAACCCTAGAAGTTTTTTTAACTGAACTTCGGAGTTTGCGTTGCAGTTGGACAAAGCGAAGCAGACGAGGGGCGAGCGGGTCGAAGACGGAACAGCGCAGAGAGACAGGCCCTTGTATGAGGTATTTGTTGCGCCTGTCTTTTAATCTAGGGTTTTTGAGGCAATTTTAGGCTATTTTTGATGGATGTATAGTTAAATTACAATGGTGATGCTTTCAGATTGAAAACTTTAAGCGATGAGCTCAATGGGGAGGGGAGTTGTTTTACTTTAGAGCAGTTAGGTCTTTGATTTACCAGTGGAAAATGATAAATGAAATAAGGTCTGATTTGGCTTCTTCTTAAAAAAAAAAATATTAATAATGTTGAATGTTGAAGCCTTTAACCTATAAATCACCTCTAACTTAAGCTAACTATAAATTAGGACGGGGAACCCAAATTCCTTATAAAACCATAATTAAACCCTAATTGTACCACCCTGCTTTTACAGTCCTAGGCCCACACTAGTTTAATCCCAGTCCAACATAACAATCCTGTCACCTGTTTGGCTTTGCACTAGAGAAATCTCGAGCGAATGATTGTGATAATGCCCACCGTTCAATTGTTACTGGGAAGATAAGGTTGACAATTGAGCCCAAATCTCTTATAAACCCACGATCATCCTCATATAGTCAACATGGGACTAATTGGAACTCTAGCAAAAGGAATTGAGAACATGCATTCTTTTTCTCCATTTAGCTCTGCCAATGCCTTCTCCCGCCAAATGAAAGTATAATGTTGTGTTCTTTGCTAAGCCGAAGCCTGTATGGTCTATCCCTAGTCGTAGTAGATTCTTCAACTATTTATCAATCTCTAATAAAAGACAAAACTTCAGTGGAGGTCCATATTGTATTGACCAAATATCATTTGGGTCCCTAATATTGGCTAGTCATCAATGGGTATCCCTAATGTTACATCCATCATCGGCTTAAGTAATGTTTACAAATTTTCGTTAAATATTGCAGGTGTGGCTATGACATGGCCCTACGATGTCACTGCCACGTTAGCAAAAAAAAAGTTGCAATTATAAGTTCAATAGACCAAAAATCTAGTGATATTACAAGTTCGTATTGAACTTGGACTTTCACTACTTTTTTTTTCTTACATTGCTGGGCCACGTCACCGCCACATCAGCAAAATTTAATGGAAGTTTGTAAAAAAGACCTAGGCTGATGACGAAAACAACATTGGGGACCGCCATTGATGACTTCCAAATGTTAAGGACCCGAATGATCTTTGGTTGAAACATTAGGGACCTCCCCTGAACTTTTGCCCTAATAAAAAGGATTGACATGCATTTGGACATTTCAAACCATCTCAAACGATTCTCTCGTACTTAAAGTTAGCTCTCCCTAGACAGTAATCTACTAATCTCTTTTCCTATTCTCACCTTCTTAACATTCTCATTTCTCTTACAGCCATTTTGAATCTTTTTCTTTCTTGGTTGCCAAACATTCCATCGCATATAAAATATGGTAAAAAATTGACTCCAAATAACCGAAATGATTGCTTTAGTAACATCCTCCTTGTTCTTACTTTAGTGTCTGGTTCTTCATATAATAGATTTGTTTATTCCGGATTGGTTTACAATTTTCCAGAGGCAATATGCTATTTTATTGGCAATATTTATTGTTTGTTGGTTTGAATGAATTCTTTAGTTCAGTATTGTACTTGGTTTCTGAAGCGGACCTTTTATTTGTCTGCTCGTTGAGTTAGTAAAATGGTTAGTTACTATTGCCATTATTCTTAGTATGATAGTATCTCAAACCTAATTGACTTAAATCCTATGGACAGTTCTGTTTAACATGCCTAAGCAACTTTTATCTGTGCTCAGTGATCGATCGCTTTCTTCCAGATTTTGAAAGAGAATAAAGACAGAAAAGATGCAGAATTCAATGAAAGATTCAAGCACAGTAAGTATCACCACTTCATTTTTAAGTTCTTTGTTGTGCCAAAGCTTGAATAAAGGATCTATAGCAATGTCTAAATTTCTAACTCACTTTAGTGTATGAAAGAATTTGGGAACAGTAATCCTTGTTGATAGTCGTAGTTTCATCTGTATGCTTTGAGCTTCATCACTCTCCCTATTTACTTCCTAGACTATGTACTTCAGTCGCTGGCAGTCGCCATTGTCATGATGATATTCTCTGTTCAAGTGTATAACCAACCAGTCATTTCTCAAAGGCACCTACATCTGTTTCTTGTTTGCAGAAACTTCCTCTTTCTCCTTGCTTGTTTTGTCTCCGTGACAACCATATGCTTAATATGTGTGTGTGTGTGTGTGTTTTATTTTCCTTTCTTTATTTTTTATGCATATCCAGATAGACAGGCAATAAGGCCCATAACCTATGCCTAATTAAAGGTTACTTTAACAGTTCAATCCGTACGTCAAGCTGAGTAGCAGAACTCTCATCATGTTACATTATTTCTGTGTAGCATGTACATAATATTTATAATTTTATATTAAACTTTTATTTCTTCATAGTAGCAAAAACCTCATTCTTTGTTTTTCTAATTTAGCCTTTCAATTGGAGATGCTCAATCACTCCTTTTTTGTTTTGTTTTATCTTGTTTCAGTGCTTAGAGAGAGAGAGAGTGTGTGTATGTGTGTGTGTTTCCTTTCCTTCATTTATTTATTTATTTGTTTTGCATATCCAGATAGACAGGCAATAAGGCCCATAGCCTATGCCTAACTAGAAGTTATTTCAAAAGTTCAATCCGTACAAGTTAAGCTTTTCCTTTCCTTTTTGTCAAGCTGAGTAGTAGAACTCTCATCATGTTACATTATTTCTGTGTAGCATGTGCATAATATTTATAATTTTATATTGAACTTTTATTTCTTCATAGTGGCAAAAACCTCATTCTTTGTTTTTTTAATTAAGCCTTTCAATTTGGGATGCTTAGTCGCTCCTTTTTTGTTTTGTTTTGTCTTGTTTCAGGACCGCCTAAAGCTCTAGATGAGGATGAAACAGAGTTTTTAGATAATTTGGAGATGGTGAGCGTGATTTAAAACATATTTACGTACTAAGCATTCTGAACCAGCAGTTCAATCAAAACACTGAATTCTGCTGATTCTGTTAAAAAATACTATGTCAATACACATATTAGTTTGGTTAAGTTCCTTACTCATCTTAATGTTTTCTCTCTTTTACTTGTTAGGATCCTACAGCATCCCTTTATGTGGAAATTTAAAAAAAAAATCTTTTATTTTTTCATGCAAAAAGTTTAATATTATCTAATAAGCTCCCAAATATGAGAGAGCCTTGGGATATTTCCTGAACAGTGAGGCTCTCTGCCCATGAGTTATTTTCCCGATAGCGTAAAAGTTGAAGAAGAGGCCTCTGCCATACACTAGAGAAGCCTAGAGCAATATAGCTGTCGGTTTTATTATATAAAACAACCATACTATTCAAAGTCACGCTCATGATAACTTCTCATTGCTCTATTACATTTCTATTTCTAGATAGCTTAGCATACTCATCCTCTGCAGGAACATTCATCTACTTGTATGGGTGTCCTTTGAGATGTGTATATTACCTGTCTGTTTGTGTTTCAAAGACGATCATCACGCGTGATCATTTGGCTTAAACTAACTGCGTGACATATCATCATTTTTATAACTTTTATTTATTTATTTTATATTGTCGTCTTTTATGCAGTCAAGGAGAGAACAGGAGCGGCAACTAGCTAATGAAGAAGCTGAACAACTTCGCAGTTTCCAAGTATGTTGAGGCCCTTCCAAAAACTTTTCCCCCCATTCTTTCATATGCATTTATTATTTCAAACTTTTATACAGCACAGTATGTTCAATAGTTAATTTTGTTGTGTGAACCCTGAACTTTGTAAGCTTGGCATATTGAAGATCTTAAATCTTCTTAAATATATACATACATGTACTTTCATCAACATATTTGGCTGAGACTTTGTGTCTTCCATCTGCAAACTAATTTTGGTATGCTGGAAATGATGTGGCTGAGTTTTAAGTCTCATGTGCCCCCTTTTCTGTATCTGTTTTGTGGATTCCTTCTCTATGTTTCTGTAATCAGTTCATCACAATAAAGTATGTAAGGGAACTTGCTATTTTCTTAAACCTCTAGCATTCACATTATATTAAATCATTGAAATTGGTCTTTTGAGTTTACCTGTAATGTAAACATTATCCTTGTTCCATATTGAACAGTTTTTAGTCTCTTGGAAGGATGTAACAGATGTATATATATTTTCTGTGGTATTTAGGAAGCAGTGGCAGTCCAAACCAACGTTGTTCGTGAGCTCAAGGAAATTCCGACTGTCGCCAAACCTGAGGTGAGTCACAGTACTGATGATCGATTGACTGTACAATTCCATGTTTGTTGAAGGAGAGGGAAAATTGAAAAACATTTTTCATTTTGCTTTGAAATGATTTCTACTACCCTTTTTTCCTCTCACAGGAAAACAAACCAGTTGTGAAGAAGAATCAACACTCTCGTCCTGCCAATTTTATAATATCGGTAAAGCCTCAGGCAAAGAAAGCAAAGACTGAAGTAGTTTCAGAAAAACAACCCTCAGAACTAAATGAGAAGCCGCCTCCTGATATTGCCAGCAAGGCACTTGGGGGCTTGGTTTCATATGGCGATGAAAGTGAAGATGAAGATTAGCACCTTCAAAAAAAATGTAATTTTTATTCTCTTTTTAGTGACACAAATCATGTGACGTTGTTGAAAGCAGTAAATTATAACGTTTTTTTTATATTGTTCCTCTTAGTTAATTTGATCGTCTTTCTTATCCTTTTAATTTCTCTCTCTTTTATTTGTCTATCTGTTTATTTTTGCTAGTCTTCTTTAACTAGTTTCTGTTTCCCCCCTTTTCTTTTCCTTTTTTGTAGTGGATGTATAAATACGAGCTGGGCTGGCAGTTCACGAACTGTACGAAGGGCCAGCCCGCTTGCGCTGAACCAAAAATGAAGGGAAAATAGTTAATAACTATTGGTGAATAATAAATCAAGGAAAGTGCGGAAAACCCTCTAATTTGAAAACTCCAAGCGAGCCTGTATATAATAACCTCTCATTAGTTCTTTCTTCATAATTCTATTTGTCATAGTTGGGATTTGACTAGTAGCTCGTTCCTTATACGTGAACTCAAGCTCGGTACGTGATTTAATCGCAAGATGGTGTGTTTATAGGATAGAGGGAGAACATTAATTACTGCAAACAATGTAAACTTTTGTTTCTGTTTTTCTCATACAAACAAACATTAGATTCAAAGCTGCAATGAGCCGCCTCCTCATCATCACTGAGAAGCTATAACAGTTCCCTTGTTGACATCCTTAGCTCTCGTCAAAGGCCGTCACTGCTAACTTGTAACAAGCACAGGCCACAGATGAACAATCACAAGATCCAGATTCTGCTAAAGATATAACCGAAACATTCCTACAACTTTTCTTCCCACTATTAGAATTACAACAGTAATGATTCCAGCAGACAACACAGAATATTGTTACCTCCCCCGGACCAATATTGATCACAAAAAGAGTACAACCTTCAAATTCTTATTAACGTGCTGGGAATAGACAACCGTCTTACTGTCTTATCAAATAGACTCGAAAGAAAGGCAAAACATAGAACATCGTTGATAAGCAACTTAATGCACCCGAGATAAGAAGAACAAGTGAAAGATTCAAGGTAAATGCGTAAACTCCCAATAACAGATCAGAACGTCCACAGCATAGTCGAGAGTGACTCGCTGGAAAGATGATGACATGGTAAATGGATTCTTCACCAACAATTTAGAGTATTAAGGAAGATAAATGTGCATATAGATGATATATTTCAAAGACTTCTGCTACTGAGGATCTGTGCTGCTTCAGTTTGAAAACACTCGCGTTATCAGAGCTGAGCTAGATGCTGACCACCGCTTTTGCCTCTTGCAGAATAACCTCCTACCAGCTGCCCAATCTTTTGTAGAGCCGTAAAAGAAAACAGAAAGTAGTAAACCAGGTAAGCAAGATCAATTGCAGACACTAGAACTTATGTCTGATCTTTAACTGTGATAACTAGGAAGATGAGAATAAACTGGCTGTCAACTGAATAAAGAAGCTTCAAGAAGCCACTAAATTATAGATTGTTTGCTTTAAGCAGAAAAAAGTGACCGAAGAATCAGACTAGGCCCTCCATATCACCTTAGTTATCTAACCGTAATAATCTGTATTTGGAGATTGTACTTTCATAAGAAATTGAGCAGGAATCTATCTTCCGAAAAGCCCAGCTTCAAACTGCATGCTTAGAAAATACCTTGAAAAGATGGCTGGCCATGTACACCAAAAATAACCAACAATCCTATAGGATTCTCATAACTGTTCATTAGGTACTTGTAAAACCTTGTAAAGAGAAAATATCTAATACAGTGCCATTATCGTCCACTGCTAAAAACTGTGCCAAAAGGGTCTAGTCTCTGAGAACCAGTTGTGTTTCACTACTGACTTTCCAAATTTCTCAGTAACTGTCAGCTAATACCAACACCTGCTTTGCTATCTGCTCCAACTTTTAAGGTAAATGCTAAAGGCTGCCAACCATGAAAACCAGGTACAATCCAATTCTTGGCCTGGACTATCACGTGCAGTATCTGAAGTATATCACCCAAAGGTAGGTGTTCCAGACATTCTTTTTTCAAAACAGTTGCGGCGTGATACCTGCATGCAGAACCCAAGACATCTGAATCAATATGGTAACTAGTAAACATGGTAACAAATTATCATCAGTTAAAAGTTAAACAATTACCTGCATTCAGTAGAGGATATTGCTGACTGTCCACGAGGAGAAGATAAGAAGTTTTGAATTGCATCCCATGTTGCTTTTGGATGTCCAACATTAGAGTCCAAGGGGTTTACACATTTCCAAAGTTTATCATGCTTCCCAATATAAAATGGAAGGTTAGCACCCAACTTGTGCATAACAACCATATTGTTGTCAACAGCACAGTTCAAGGCCATCTTGACATTAAAGTTGTGAATGCCCATCCCGTATCGGATGCAATCTGCTATATTTGCTTCAGTAGGGGTCATCTTATTGGCTTTCAGTATGCTTAAAGCACCTTGAATATTTCCTGTAAGACTCAGCACAGAGCTGGATGACATCCATCCTGGGCTTCCCATGTTAGCATTGCAGGATATATTGCTATTCATAGCATTAAACTGAGGTCCATGTCCCTTTTCGCGGTAAAATGGTAGTCCATTCTGCATGTAACCAGGAGGCCCTGAGCCTTGGGGAGGAAATGGACCATTTTGATAACCATGACTTGGATACTCAGATGCATGCCTACTGAAATCAGGTGGCGGGCCTGGCCTGAAGGGTGTTGTACTTTGCTGTTGTGGTGACGGATAAGAGCCATAATTATCGTAATGGGAAGAATGAGGTTGAGAAGGTGGGATTGCACTTGGTCTCAAGGGTTGACAATTCTGGGGTGGCGTGTTGCTGAAGATGTTGTTTCCATTGTTTACAGGACCGCAAGGATGAGACTGATTAGAAGACCCAACTGATGCCCTAGGTTTATTGGCCATAAAGAACTCGTGTGGAGCTTTATTGAACTTTCTTCCCTCAGATTGATAGGAAACACGAGGCACATTGGATGGCTTCTGAATTGATGAGTATGAAGAACTTACTGTAGTATCCATTAACTGAATACGTTCACGTTCTTCAGAGCTTGACATAATAGGCATAGACATTTGCTTTTGAAATTGGATACTATGACCTTCTTTATTCTCTGGTAGACTTGAGGTTTTAGATATGTCTCCTTTTGGCAAAGCTTCGTTTTTCCGAGTTTGCTTATTACCTTTAAAGTGGTTATCAGCTTCAGCTCTCACATTAGAGATATCGTTACAAGCCGGTTCCCCTACAGTTTTGTTGCTTGCCTCTGAGGTTTTAGAACCAAATGCATTACCAAGATAACTCGGCTCTGATTTATTCAGCGGTAATCCTCCAGCCAAGAGGCTTGACCAGAGCCACACACTTCGAGCAGCAGCAACAAGTGCCTGGGATACATTTGGTGCATGAGCGAGTAGAATATTGTATCGCCTCATGCGTAGTTGATGAAGAGCATTAGAGAAGTCACGATCACCAGATATAAGTAGGTAGTTTGCAGGGGCAGGATTGTCAACTGCCCAGAAAAGCATGTCAACTAGAATTTTTTTATCGCTCGCATCTTTAACCCCTGCAACATAGAAATGTTCAAATTAAGATGTTGCCACTAATGGAATTGTGGGAAATATTGGTGAACAGCATCCTGGAATCACTAAACTAAATGCACCAGAATGGAAAAGGCAATCTATATATACGAGAAAATAGAATGTGATACCCCAAGATTTAGTCCCACGTTGTATATCGAATGAGTGATTGAATGGTTTAAATGATGGGGTCTTGAGAGCCAAGTGTAACATTGACTAAACAATTTGGCAGTGGATCGGGCCAACTCATGTGTTGTACTCTAGTGGGTCCCAGACATACATCGACCCAACGGGCTCGTGGGCCCGGAGTGACAAATAGTATTAGAACAGTTAGCCAATTGCAAATATGGAGCTAAGCATTGTACGAGACTAAATGCTACGCCGAATGAGTGCGGTGGATGTCACCTCATTACAAATCGTTTTAAATACAATGAATTCAAAGAAACAAGCATTTTTATAAGACTTCTTGTTACAAACAAATAACCTCCTAGAAACACACGCAGAGGACGTTTATCACCCGCTGCTTGCGTGAGATCTTTACCTGTGCCGGGGATGCGTTAGCCCGTGGACGACCGAATCACAGATCCAAATTAAACCGTGAAGAAGACGTAAGGTCGATGTTTCGTTTTAGAAACAAAAACAGAAGTGAATATCGTAGCAAAGTAAGATAAAACACTCTTCTCGAGATTAAATCAAAGCTTAGATCTCAAGGAATCGCAAGAGCTCTGAAAGGTAAGATAAAACACTCTTCTCGAGATTAAATCAAAGCTTAGATCTCAAGGAATCGCAAGAGCTCTGAAAGGCTTGCACGCGATGAAGATCCTCTCTCTCTTCAAAGCTTAGATCTCAAGGAATCGCAAGAGCTCTGAAAGGCTTGCACGCGATGAAGATCCTCTCTCTCCCTTGCTTAGAACGCTCAAATCTCTGCTCTATCTTGCTCAATAATGCTCTGTGCTTGTCAGTAATGATCCTAGGAGGGTATTTATAGCTCATAGGAGACGTAACTGAAGTCTGGAGTTGAAAAGAAATTACATCGAAGAACCTATATTTTCGAGACACTCGTGACTGTCTCGGAAACAATACTCAATCCTGGCAGTTTTGTAACTGCTTCCACTATGCCTTAATGCCATTATTCCAGCAGTTATGGACGTAATTTTCGCTTATAACAGTTCCCCCACGTTCATGGATGATCCCCAGCAGTTATTAAGCCACGTGGACAACACAAAACTCAAGAAAACCGCCGTCAAGTCCACTTTAACTTTTGAGACAATCGCAAGTGTTTTGGAAACTACATTTTGTCTTCATAGCTTCCGAGACAGCCGCTGGTGTCTCGGAAACTATGATTTGCCATCATAGTTTCCGAAATAGCCGCAACTGTCTCGAAAACTATGAGTCTTCTCATAGTTTTTGAGATATGTTTTATGCCTCGAAACTTGTGTGATGCGCTTCTTATACGTTCCTTAGTTGATCTTTGGTTTTGGATGATCTTTTATAACTTAGATAATGACGTTTATCGTCTTCTCTTTAGCTTGAGCTATGTGTGATACCCTATAGGTAATTTTTGACGTCTACAACCGTTAGAAGCACGTAGAAGCCACCTCTAGAGTCCATATCGCCCAGTGGTAATATGGGGCGAAACAATTGTCACACCACAATGAAGATGTCGCGTAGTTATAGTGGGGTGATTGAGACACCCTAAGATTTAGTCCCACATCTGATACTAATTGAGTGATCGAATGGTTTAAATGATGGGTTTTGAGAGCCAAATATAACATTGACTAGTCAATTTTGACAGTGGATTGAGCCAAACCATATGTTGCATTCTGTGGGTCCTAAGACTTATATATCGCCGACGGCCTCACGAGCCCGGCGCATGATATAGAAAGTACACTCAACAACCGACAACAGACACCCCATTGTTGTATCCTTCATTCAAATATTCTAAAGGTAATCTCCATGATTAAGTTAATATTTATCATATTCCTTTTAGTATTCTCTTCAATTTCATGGGAATCCAAAGACAACAGGAAACTTATAGAGCATTTTCCCATCATAACTATCCTTCTTTGATTTATATGAACCACATCCTTGGCGTCACCAACTTGACAAATGATCGATTATAAGTAGCAGAAGTGGTCACAATAAGGTGCTTCTCGGAACCACCAGTCCTCACTATAGTTCATCCTTCTCATAATTCTGCTTAAGTTATGCTCCATATATTCTGTTCCTATTCTCCTTTTCTACTTTTGGAAACTAACCCCTGCCAAGTAACACCATCTACATACTAATCAGCAAGCAATAAGCACCAAGGTATTTCATCCCCGAAATGAGTAGCAAGTGTTGGGAATTTAACGCCAAAACCCCTAATGCAGCAGAAACACGGTATAGAGAAAAGTACACCAATATTTACGAGGTTCGGCAACTGCCTACGTTCTCGGGAGCCACACAATGAATATCTTATTAATCTAACAAGAAATTACAATTCAAGAGCGAATCTCAAACTTGAGATTCTTCAATAAATACAATCTTTCACTGTAGCTACAGTAAAGATTCCTCTCTTAAATAATACCCCCTCTTAATCCTCTCTTAAAATCCCTTTCTTAAACAAATCCTCTTTCCTCAAATTCCTTTTGAGAAAACGCTGGAGAATAAAAAAGGGGAGAGCAGAGAGAGATCGCCTGAGGGAAGAGAGATCGAGCCGCCGCCTTTAATCGCACGAGAGAGAAGGGGGGAAAATCATCAGGGCTAGGGCACAGGGTTTCCCTTTTATAGGGAAACCCTAGGATAGTTGGCGACAGGTTGTCGTCGCCTGTCAACGATCTCGCCTGCGAGGAGCTCGAGCTCGCCTGCAAGAAGATCTCCAATTTTTGCCTGCAACTTGTCGCGAGCTCGCCTGGAGTTCGCCAACTCGACCTCGCCTGCTCAAGAGCTTCGCCTGCATCTGGTCGCCGACAACCTCGCCTGAAAAATCTCACCTGCAAGGTTTGATCTCCACACTCAACTCAACAATAAGGTGCTTCTCGGAGCCACCAGTCCTCACTATAGTTCATCCTTCTCATAATTCTGCTTAAGTTATGCTCCATATATTCTGTTCCTATTCTCCTTTTCTACTTTTGAAAACTAACCCCTGCCAAGTAACACCATCTACATACTAATCAGCAAGCAATAAGCACCAAGGTATTTCATCCCCGAAATGAGTAGCAAGTCCATCAATAACTTATCACAATCAATGATCAATTTCAATTAACCTCAATAACTCCCTCCAATTGCATATCACCATCAACGATCAATTTCAAGTAAAAACAGTTAACTTCCTCCAATTGCATATCACAAATTACCTATATAGGCCAAGCCAACACCGCCTAAAAAGGTCCAAAGCCCTAGAATCACACCACATCCCATAAAAATCCAATTTTTAAGAAAAATAAAGAAAAAAAACGACGTAGAAAGATTGCTGATGAATGACTTATTTGACATCGAAGCTGCTGAAAACCAATGATCAGCTTTTACTCAAAACCCCAGATCATCTTCCAATTTCGGATCATAATCGCCTATAAAGACCAAACGACATCAGCAAAACCCCTAAACCCTAGAATCAAACCTAAACACTATGCGGATAAGATGCTCACCAGCCGGAACGTGGTTGAGGGCGATTCCGGTGCTGGAGAGCGCTTGCTGAACGCCGCTGCAACCTTCTTCAGTAGACTATTAACCCCTGAAGGAGTGAGTGGTGCCAGCTCACAAATAGCCTCGCCAGCATTGCTCTCTAGATTCCTAAACAAATAAGACGCAAATTGTTTCTGGCTCACATGGGACTTAGCCCTCTTCGCTAAGGGTTCAGACTGCGCCAAAGCGATATGATAGTGACATGTGAGGTCCCATAAAGTCTCGTAGCGGTCGGGCATGCGATCCTTCAGCTGACTTAATTCTTGGTTGGAGGGAAAATATTCCTGATATAGAGCGTCGCTCCCCCGAGGGACCTGGCAGTTCTCGATATCCCACCACACCGACGTCTTCGCCGTCGTGTACGGAGAGTCCCCTCCGCCGCCTCCGCCGCCGATCGCCATTTTGTTTTTTTTCTTGGGGTTAGGGTTTTGGATTGGGCATTATTGACGTAGGGTTTGCAGAAGACGAAGGGAGACGGTAGGGACTTTTTAGACCGAGTCCGGGGTGGGTCGCATCATGTCATGGGATTTTTTTGCAAAAGAAGCCTGCCCGTCCGTTCTAAATTTATGAACATTTTTCCTTGGACCCCCTGATTTATTTTTGGGATAATTACATCTTAGTCCATTACATCATCTTTAATCACCAAGAAGTCCCTCGTATCTCAATGTTTGCCTGTTAGTTCCCTTAAATCTTCAACTTTATGGCAAATCGGTCCCTCTTGATAGGTGATGTCTGTTTTATCCCCACCCGCATTTAAGTGAAATGGACATGCTTGGAATGTCTGTTTTATCCCCACCCGCATTTAACAGTAGTGTTCATAATCCAACCAACCATTTGATGACGTGTTTAAACCGACTAACCGCTAGCCCAAAAGCCCACATGATCTTCTTCCTCAATGATTAGAACTCCACTAAACACGTTTTTTAGCTATTCTGATGGTAAAATTCCTCTCAAGCATATATAATCCTCTGAAGTTTTCACTATACATTCCTTTTCACCTCCTCTCATATTCAAAACTAAAAAATAGTCCTAACCCTAGAACATCTCCCAAAATGGCTAGGGGGCAGCTGAGTAATTTTCCATGTTCATTGAAGGTTAGCTAAGGCTAAACCTAACCGCAATTAACTATATTACCAGAAAACTAAACAAAAGGACGAAATTGCAAGGAAATTATAGATTTGAGGGAGTAATAGGTAAATACTAAGATTAGAGGGGTTATATGACAAATAAAGATGATTAAAGAGACTAATATGCACTTACCCCCTTTATTGCTATATCTGAACTCTTCCAAAATCATTCATACAAACCAAACCGAACACACAACCTGATTAATCACATGAATATCAACAAACTTACATGCTCTTCTTGTAGCTTCAATTCCATCATCTCTACAAGAATATCAACAAACTACACCTTTCGCAATTATTAAAATCTGTATTAATCTGCTATAAAATGTGGTGAATTGTTATTACAGTTTGATGTAAACTGCTATACAGCATGTAAAATGCAATTACAAAGTGATCAAATACTTAGAAATCTGCCTTGTTGAGTAAGCGAGCGACGCATGTGAATGATTTTGGACCCGAGTGGGTTAAAAATTAAAGTGAGTTTTAAATAGAAAAAAAAAACCATATTCTAAAATGAAAGGTAACTGGGGGAAAAATTTTTTGGAAGTAAACACTACTTGCACTTCGGGAACTTGGAATTCAATACACTTCTACGTTATTTGCTCTACTCTACATGAACATAATATCACTGTTGAAATCAATCTACCAGCAGAATATTTTCTACAAAAATGAAAGAAGAAAACTGTTTCATTATATAACACCATCCCTGCTGCTCATACTACTAGATCAAACTCTATACGTACATATAATAATAAGAAGCATATTCCTCGTCAATTCATACACTAGATTTCTACACTCAAGTCCTTCTCTACACATATACAGTCTCTAGATTACCAAAGTCAATTCATACACTAGATTTCTACACTCAAGTCCTTCTCTACACATATACAGTCTCTAGATTACCAAAGGCTATCAGATTATTACTGAAGAATCAAGCTCGATAGGACTGCAATTGCTAATGAAATCCAGCCTCCAGGTCGAAAGAATGGGCTGGTGCTTATTGTCCCCATGGGGCTCTCTGATGGGAATGAAATCCAGCCTCCAGGTCGAAAGAATGGGCTGGTGCTTATTGTCCCCATGGGGCTCTCTGATGGGAACACTGAACCGGAGCCAGAGGAGCTGGTGCTGTTGAACACTGATGAGCCTGACCCAGAACTGGAGCCGTAAGCAGGAGCAAAACCAGTGGGTGTAGAACCGATTCCTGTTGACCCAGTACCTGAGCTGCTGCTCGAAGGAGGACTCTGAGCAGGGTTCGAAGGAGGACTCGTAACGGGATTCGAAGGAGGACTCTGAGCAGGGTTCGAAGGAGGATTCATGCCAGGATTCACGCTGGAAGAAGAACTGCATAATAAGAGGTGGGTTAAGGTCATTTATGTGTTACCAAGAATTTTGGTGCAAGTAACATATGTGCTCATGGCTGTATTTGCGCTTACCTTGATGCGAAATTGCAGGTTCCAGTACCTGAAACAATTTAAAGGGATATGAGTCACAGCTGAAACATGGAACTGCTGCCACAATGAGTACACTTCACCGATGGCTGGCCGCGAATCTGCACAACAGGACGCTGATAAGGGTGAGCCTGATGAGATGGCTGACGCTGGGAATGCTGCTGTCTCTGCGGAGCCTGCTGCTGCTGTCTCGGAGGGGGACGCTCGACATTCCGGGCCGGAGCTGCTGGTGTCCTGCTTTGAATCACGTGAGAGTCTTCAGGTTCCTTATGCACGCTCTCAATCTCGCGTGCTGCATCCAGTACCGCATCATAGGTCGCCAAAGCTCTACCTGCCAGAGCCATCCTAATGTACTTGTCCAGACCCTTCTGAAACTGATGTCTCCTGATAGTGGGGTCTGTAACCAAGTGGGGAGCATATCGGCTCAAAGAAGAAAACTCGGTCTCGTACTCATCTACTGTTCGCCCTCCTTGCTTGAGCTCAACAAATCTTCGTAGGAGTTCATCCCGAGCTGATTGAGGAAAATATTTCCTGTTGAAGCGCTCGGTGAACGTCTCCCACAAGATGGGCCTCTCCAGATGAGTCTTCTCTGCAATCCACCAAATCCGAGCGGTGTCGGTGAGCTGAATATCGATGAGGTCCACCCATTCAGCATGGGGGATGCGGGTCACCGTGAGAATAGTCTCAGTGACCTTGAGAAACTCCTCTGCTGCTAAAGGTCCATCGGCACCAGAAAAGGAAGGAGGCCGCATATATCGAAACTCTCTAACTCCAGACTCTGCGCGAGGGGGAGGCTGGTCCTGCGGCTCCCTGTGAAGCTGTCTCGCCAAGTGCTGCTGATTGGTGACCAATCCCTGAATCATCGCTAGAAGTTGGTTTTCCCGAGTTTGCTTATTACCTTTAAATTGGTTATCAGCTTCAGCTCTCACATTAGAGATATCGTTACAAGCCGGTTCCTCTTCAGTTTTGTTGCTTGCCTCTGAGGTTTTAGAACCAAATGCATTACCAAGATAACTCAGCTCTGATTTATTCAGCGGTAATCCTCCAGCCAAGAGGCTTGACCAGAGCCACACACTTCGAGCAGCAGCAACAAGTGCCTGGGATACATTTGGTGCATGAGCGAGTAGAATATTGTATCGCCTCATGCGTAGTTGATGGAGAGCATTAGAGAAGTCACGATCACCAGATATAAGTAGGTAGTTTGCAGGGGCAGGATTGTCAACTGCCCAGAAAAGCATGTCAACTAGAATTTTTTTATCGCTCGCATCTTTAACCCCTGCAACATAGAAATGTTCAAATTAAGATGTTGCCACTAATGGAATTGTGGGAAATATAGGTGAACAGCATCCTGGAATCACTAAACTAAATGCACCAAAATGGAAAAGGCAATCTATATATACAAGAAAATAGAATGTGATACCCCAAGATTTAGTCCCACATCAGATATCGAATGAGTGATTGAATGGTTTAAATGATAGGGTCTTGAGAGCCAAGTGTAACATTGACTAACCAATTTGGCAGTGGATCGGGCCAACTCATGTGTTGTACTCTAATGGGTCCCAGACATACATCGACCCAACGGGCTCGTAGGCCCGGAGTGACAAATAGTATTAGAGCAGTTAGCCAATCGCAAATATGGAGCTAAGCGCTGTACGAGACTAAATGCTACACCGAATGAGTGCGGTGGATGTTACCTCATTACAAATCGTTTTAAATACAATGAATTCAAAGAAACAAGCATTTTTATAAGACTTCTTGTTACAAACAAATAACCTCCTAGAAACACACGCAGAGGACGTTTATCACCCGCTGCTTGCGTGAGATCTTTACTTGTGCCGGGGGTGCGTTAGCACGTGGACGACCGAATCACAGATCCAAGTTGAACCGTGATGAAGACTTAAGGTTGATGTTTCGTTTTAAAAACAAAGACAGAAGTGAATAACTTAGCAAAATAAGATAAAACACTCTTCTCGAGATTAAATCAAAGCTTAGATCTCAAGGAATCGCAAGAGCTCTGAAAGGCTTGCACGCGATGAAGATCCTCTCTCTCTCCCTTGCTTAGAACGCTCAAATCTCTGCTCTATCCTGCTCAATAATGCTCCGTGCTTGTCAGTAATGACCCTAGAAGGGTATTTATAGCTCATAGGAGATATAACTGAAGTCTGGAGTTGAAAAGAAATTACATCGAAGGACCTATATTTCCGAGACACTTGTGACTGTCTCGGAAACAATACTCAATTCTGACAGTTTTGTAACTGCTTCCACTACGCCTTAATGTCATTATTCCAGCAGTTATGGACGTAATTTTCGTTTGTAACAGTTCCCTCACATTCATGGATAATCCCCAGCAGTTATGAAACCACGTGGACAGCACAAAACTCGAGAAAACCGTCGCGAAATCCACTTTAACTTTTGAAACAGTCGCAAGTGTTTTGAAAACTACATTTTGTCTTCATAGCTTCCGAGACAGCCGCTGGTGTCTCGGAAACTATGATTTGCCATCATAGTTTCCGAAATAGCTGCAACTGTCTCAAAAACTATGAGTCTTCTCATAGTTTCTGAGATATGTTTTATACCTCGAAACTTGTGTGATGCGCTTCTTGTACGTTTCTTAGTTGATCTTTGGCTTTGGATGATCTTTTATAACTTAGATAATGACGTTTATCGTCTTCTGTTTAGCTTGAGCTATGTGTGATACCCTATAGGTAATTTTTAACGTCTACAACCGCTAGAAGCACGTAGAAGCCACCTCTAGAATCAACATCGCCCGGTGGTAATATGGGGCGAAACAATTGTCACACCACGATGAAGATGTCGCGTAATTATAGTGGGATGATTGAGACACCCTAAGATTTAGTCCCACATCCGATACTAATTGAGTGATCGAATGGTTTAAATGATGGGTTTTGAGAGCCAAGTATAACATTGACTAGTCAATTTTAGCAGTGGATTGAGCCAAACTATATGTTGCATTCCGTTGGTCCCAAGACTTATATATCACCGACGGGCTCACGGGCCCGGCGCATGATATAGAAAGTACACTCAACAACCGGCAACAGACACCACAGAGCTGTATCCTTCTTCATTCAGATATTCTAAAGGTAATCTCCATGATTAAGTTAATATTTATCATATTCCTTTTAGTTCTCTTCAATTTCATGAGAATCCAAAGACAACAGGAAACTTATAGAGCATTTTCCCATCATAACTATCCTTCTTCGATTTATATGAACCACATCCTTGGCGTCACCAACTTGACAAATGATCGATTATAAGTAGCAGAAGTGGTCACAATAAGGTGCTTCTCGGAGCCACCAGTCCTCACTATAGTTCATCCTTCTCATAATTTCGCTTAAATTATGCTCCATATATTCTGTTCCTATTCTCCTTTTCTACTTTTGAAAACTAACCCCTGCCAAGTAACACCATCTACATACTAATCAGCAAGCAATAAGCACCAAGGTATTTCATCCCCGAAATGAGTAGCAAGTCCATCAATAACTAATCACAATCAATGATCAATTTCAAGTAAACCTCAATAACTCCCTCCAATTGCATATCACCATCAACGATCAATTTCAAGTAAAAACAGTTAACGTCCTCCAATTGCATATCACAAATTACCTATATAGGCCAAACCAACACCGCCTAAAAAGGTCCAAAGCCCTAGAATCACACCACATCCCATAAAAATCCAATTTTTAAGAAAAATAAAGAAAAAAAAACGACACAGAAAGATTGCTGATGAATGACTTATTTGACATCGAAGCTGCTGAAAACCAATGATCAGCTTTTACTCAAAACCCCAGATCATCCTCCAATTTCGGGATCATAATCGCCAATAAAGACCAAACGACATCAGCAAAACCCCTAAACCCTAGAATCAAACCTAAACACTATGCGGAGAAGATGCTCACCAGCCGGAACGTGGTTGAGGGCGATTCCGGTGCTGGAGAGCGCTTGCTGAACGCCGCTGGCGATCTTGTTGGTGTCGCCGTAGGCGGAGATGGTGACGGGACCCTTGTACCCTCCGTTAGCGAGGGCGGAGCTGATGTTTTGAGCGATCACGTGAGCGTCGCTCCCCCGAGGGACCTGGCAGTTCTCGATATCCCACCACACCGACGTCTTCGCCGTCGTGTACGGAGAGTCCCCTCCGCCGCCTCCGCCGCCGATCGCCATTTTGTTTTTTTTCTTGGGGTTAGGGTTTTGGATTGGGCATTATTGACGTAGGGTTTGCAGAAGACGAAGGGAGACGGTAGGGACTTTTTAGACCGAGGCCGGGGTGGGTCGCATCATGTCATGGGATTTTTTTGCAAAAGAAGCCTGCCCGTCCGTTCTAAATTTATGAACATTTTTCCTTGGACCCCCTGATTTATTTTTGGGATAATTACATCTTAGTCCATTACATCATCTTTAATCACCAAGAAGTCCCTCGTATCTCAATGTTTGCCTGTTAGTTCCCTTAAATCTTCAACTTTATGGCAAATCGGTCCCTCTTGATAGGTGATGTTAATTACTGTGTTGAAATTTCTTTAAGTGAAATGGACATGCTTGGAATGTCTGTTTTATCCCCACCCGCATTTAACAGTAGTAGCGTTCGTAGTCCAACCAACCATTTGATGACGGGTTTAAACCAACTAACCACAAGCCCAAAAGCCCACATGACCTTGTTCCTCAATGATTAGAAGTGCCCAAAACCCGTTTTTTAGCTATTCTTATGGTAAAATTCCTCTCAAGCATATACAATCCTCTAAAGCTTTCACTATACATTCCTTTTCACCTCCTCTCATAATCAAAACTAAAAAATAGTCCTAACCCTAGAACATCTCCCAAAATGGCTAGGGGGCAGCTGAGTAATTTTCCATGTTCATTGAAGGTTAGCTAAGGCTAAACCTAACCGCAATTAACTATATTACCGGAAAACTTAACAAAGGGACGAAATTGCAAGGAAATTATAGATTAGAGGGACTAATAGGTAAATACTAAGATTAGAGGGGTTATATGACAATTAAAGATGATTAAAGAGACTAATATGCACTTACCCCCTTTATTGCTATATCTGAACTCTTCCAAAATCATTTATACAAAACAAACCGAACACACAACCTGATATTTTCCCCCCACTCAAAATCTGTATTAATCTGCTATAAAATGTGGTGAATTGTTATTACAGTTTGATGATTTAAGAGACTAATACGCACTTCGGGAACTTGGAATTCAATACGCTTCTACGTTATCTGCTCTACTCTACATGAACATAATATCACTGTTGAAATCAATCTACCAGCAGAATATTTTCTACAAAAATGAAAGAAGAAAACTGTTTCATTATATAACACCATCCCTGCTGCTCATACTACTAGATCAAACTCTATACGTACATATAATAATAAGATGCATATTCCTCAGTCAATTCATACACTAGATTTCTACACTCAAGTCCTTCTCTACACATATACAGTCTCTAGATTACCAAAGGCTATCAGATTATTACTGAAGAATCAAGCTCGATAGGACTGCAATTGCTAATGAAATCCAGCCTCCAGGTCGAAAGAATGGGCTGGTGCTTATTGTCCCCATGGGGCTCTCTGATGGGAAAACTGAACCGGAGCCAGAGGAGCTGGTGCTGTTGAACACTGATGAGCCTGACCCAGAACTGGAGCCGTAAGCAGGAGCAATACCAGTGGGTGTAGAACCGATTCCTGTTGACCCAGTACCTGAGCTGCTGCTCGAAGGAGGACTCTGAGCAGGGTTCGAAGGAGGACTCGTAACGGGATTCGAAGGAGGACTCTGAGCAGGGTTCGAAGGAGGATTCATGCCAGGATTCACGCTGGAAGAAGAACTGCATAATAAGAGGTGGGTTAAGGTCATTTATGTGTTACCAAGAATTTTGGTGCGAGTAACATATGTGATCATGGCTGTATTTGCGCTTACCTTGATGGGAAATTGCAGGTTCCAGTACCTGAAACAATTTAAAGGGATATGAGTCACAGCTGAAACATGGAACTGCTTGAATTTAGTTATATCAAGAAACTTATCAGAAGTAAAAAAAAAAGGAACCAGAGAAGGGAACTAATAGTGCTCATGTGTAAGGACATCTGTTGCAAGTCAATTTTAGCAAAAGATAGAAGAAGAAGAAGAAGAACTGTCACTAATGGAAAAATTGGCGAAGTTTTCACTCTCGGTGATTAAGGTTGATTGTTGGCTCCTAAGTAACAGGATATTATTGACTTGGGGAACTATGTTCAGTATGATAAAGTCTTATTAAGAAACACCAAGAAAATTGTGTAAAGAAATTTACATGAATAGGCAATAGCCTATAAGTGGGGTTCCTAATTAATAAACATGGATTCTCCAATTCATATTTGGTTTCATGTCTATTTAGGATTAAACATGGATACATGGTATAACAACTGTATCATCCAATTCTTGTCTCTCTTATAATTACTAAAACGGCTAAGGCCCTGTTTCCTTCAGAAACAAAAAAAATACGGTAGTGAAAAAATTTTATTTGAACACATGTCCAATTATAAATAAAATTGTATATGTACACCTGTTTCAAATATATAAATGCCACATGACGAGATATCGTTTGCGAAAAGACAAAATCATGCAATCTTATATAACTTATATCATTCTCCCATGTAAAAACTAAATTAAGGTTATATATCCTCTCTTTCTTACATTTTAGATATTTATATCCATATGAATATGTATCCGACTAATATCAAATTTGATTTTTTTCCCCTTTTATTTTTCCTTTTCTTAAGATACACATGCATCAATTGCTAATATGAACATGCATTGATTTGAATATCCACACGTCTAGATCATCATCCACATGTGAGTGAAATGCTTACTTGGATTGGCGGTTACAACATGTGAGTGAAATGCTTACTTGGATTGGCGGTTACAAGTGTGGCTGCTCCTCCAAAATCACAACTGGTTGGCGCCGGATTCTTCTGGTAGTAGCTATTGAATGCATACGAAGCATGAGCTTGGAGGCTGTTAGGATTATAGCAGCTCCCCGACGTCTGGATAGCGGAACAATCTGCCCCTCCGATCCCACACGCATAATCAAGCGCATCCTGGAGTTATCACTCACACCGCTCTTTCGCCACACACCAACTCTGTCCTGATCGGGTTCACTGGGTTTGTTGCGGGGGTCGTGACGGGGTTTGTGACAGGCACAGCTGGGGGAACAGTAGTCACAGGTGGGGTTGTAGGGTTTGTCACGGGATTTGTGACTGGAACAGTGACGGGAGGGGTTGTAGGATTTGTGGAAGGGAATGTGATTGGACTATTTGTAGGGTTTGTGGAAGGAACTGTGATTGGGGAAGTTGTGGGGAGGACGTTTGGCGGATTGGTGGACGGAACGGTAACAGTAACTGGTGACGGTTCTGTGCTTGGAACCATTATTGGGGAAACGGTGTCATGGATGATTACATGTTTCTTGTCAAGGAGTTGTCGACGAGAAGTCGGGAATACTACTTCCTCTTCCCATTCAAGTTTTTTCTCCTCAGATTGTGTTGCATCAAGGGAGAAGCCTGCCAAGGTTTGTACCATGAAATTGATCAAAAAAAATGAATCTTAGATAATGAATATTCCCCACAACAAACTAGGTTACTGTAGATGTTTGAACAAGTTTTTGAGAAAAATAGATTCTTGAACAAGTTGTTACATGAAAGAAGATAGTAAAGCATAACCACTTATAGAAAATCATTTAGCTTTTCTGTTCTAACTGGATGAAACGACGTATATAGATTCCGTGCAGTAGCTAACTGAAATCAGTATCGGTCGAGAGACTCTACTGAAACTTGGTAAAGAGCTGAGCATAAGGAGTAAGGTAACGCTGATAACTTGATTGAGAAGGAAAAATAATAAGCTTCTACTCATTTTTCATCAAATTTTATAAAAAGTTTGCGATGCTCGCTAAGTTGCCCTCCCACAGAATATCAAAGGATTGAATCATGCAGCAGTACTTCTAAAAGAAATTTTCACATATACTGTTATGCTTACTGCAGAAATGTACATCATCATCCAACATAAAAAATGCACTTTTTTTTCAAAACTAGGAGGAAAAAATCTGGCATCCTAGCTCTTCTTCCTGCCCTATTTTACCAGTTTCTTGCAAAAATGGAAATAAAGTAACGATATAGAAATGTAACCATTTCCTCGTTCAAATACAATTAAACTATCCCATCTCAAATATAAAAAATCTGGCATCCCAAATTAAACACACTTAACAAACTTTAGCAAAGTTCCTCGTTTTCTTCTTGATTCAATAATACCCAGTATTTTATTTCCAAACGGGATTAAACCAGGTAATCCGGGGAGAAAAGAAAGTGCTAAAAACCCAATACTTTTCAACAAGTAAAATACACACAACTGACTGAGTAGTTCATGAATTAGACCAACAAAAAAAAAAACCTGAAAAAGGAAGGTCTTTTGCACGACCATAGTTTTCAGTTATCGGGGCAAATCACAAATGGGTATTCATTTTTGGGGCAAATCACAAATGGGTATTCATTTTTCGGGGCAAATGGGCATCCTGAGCTTGTTTTATCCTCTCAGAATACTAGAACAAGCATTCGAGTTCGGACAGTGATGCTAACCTGAGCAGCCCCAAACGCGAAGGGAGAGGAGGAGAAAGGCAACGGAGAGACCCTTGATCTCAACCTCTACAGACATTATAAGACCGAGATTGAGAAGCTTGAGAAGACCCCAACTGAACCCTTTTGAAGTGGCCTCTTGGTCTACAGAGCTCAAAGAGTGCGCTTGTGGATCCAAAGCAGAGGCTTTTTTTTCAGATTTCAGAGGAGAGAAAACAGAGGAGAGGGGGGGCACATTAAGAAGAAGAAGGGAAAGAAAAAGGCGTGATAAAGCTGAAAGTAGACAGAGAGAGAGGAAAAAAAAGTAGCAAGAAATCAAAGAGTATGATGAAAGTACTGTGGGGGTAGGATAAGATAAACAAGACTGTGAGCTATAAAGACGAAGGCAAGGCCGAGATTTGAGAGGGTGGGGGTGACTCCGTATCCACCATCGAAGGAATCTCTATTAAAGCTCTCGATAGACTATTTTTCTTTTCCAATTCCGGTTGATGGCGAGAGGTCTGGCTACCGAGCGGTGGTTTTAGCTGCGGGGCTGCGTCGAAATCTTACGGGGCAAATTATTACAGGCCTGCTCCGTTAGTGTCATTGCTGATATTAAATTGGTTGATTGTGATTTACGGAGAATTTAGGTGTCGCTCGGTGTCACTTTAAATATGGTTAGTTAAATGATTAGCTATGTTAAAGGGATTTGGATCCTCT